AAAACTTCATATGTCCCAAATGGCCCAGGGGATGCTCTTGAAGTTTCCAGACGGTTTGCCGGAACTCGGAACTCCTAAGGCACCTACAACTTCTGTGTAAGAGATTCAAAGATTAGAAGCTGCCCGGGTCGTGGGGTCTGATCAAGTGGCCCGTCAGTGTTGACAAGGTAGAGGGTCATTCGGAGAAGATCGGACAAGGTTTGGGTCCCTTTCCGGTGGTCAATAATGGGTTTGCAGGAGAAGAAGGGTTTAAGGTTCGCATGCAAGAGGCGTAAAAAGGGATCGGCAGTCACAGGCTTCTAGCTAGTTTGGGATGCAGCTTACGGTTGAGGGACGGGGTCCAAAAGGCTGTTGAGCGTATCCAAAGTAACAGGGCGCTGCATTGCATGTTTGGCCGTATGGCTTCTCCATTGCCTTCTCGGGTTTGACACAGCTTTCAGATGTTGAGGAAGGTGGGCATGCGCTTGGCGGGCAAGAAAAGAGCAAAAACAAGTGTCTGTGGATGTCTGTACGAAGGACATCATGCCGGCACGAACGCGTTCTCCTTCTTGCCCAATGTGCCGCCAGAAGCTCAGCCTGTGGACAGCATGGAATCCCATCCTGTCGATTTGCAGGTGTCGGCTCTCTAGTCTTAAAAGTCCACACGCCAATTTGTTTTTCCTTTTCACGTTTCCAGTATGTTTCACTCGTTTTGATGGGCCGCCTGGGGTTCTTCCCCTCAGGACGTCGAGCTTGTTGGCACAGCTGTGGCTCACGACTACTCCGTGCCGAGCTTGACTATGGCTTGCAGCTTCGCGCTCTTAGAACTATGCAATTTTGAGCTGATGTCTCTTGACTTGTGAGGCTTCCTTGCAGCTACTATCAGTGCTCCGGACCTCTCAGTCCTGAACCAGTTACACTAAACCCCCTAAACCTTAGTTGGCAGCTCTAGCCCCCAAGTCTGAGTCACCAGTGCAATGTTCTCAGTCCATCACCTTTTTTCTCCAAGGTCTCCGGAAGGAGTCGCTGGTATCGCTGCACAAGACGGTGCGGCATTCTTGTGCTGGAGGTTGTTTAGAGGTTCTGACGGGATTACAAGGGTCCAGCGAATCATGTTCGAGAGCGTCCCTCTTTCGTAAAGATGTGATGTTCATGTTGTCCAAGGCCTTACCCTCATGTACCCGCACCCTTTCAGTCCGCTCTCCTGACTTGGTGCCTTCGCAGGTGGCTTGCTTCCGCGAGCCCATTTTCAGGCATGCCTTTGGGGTCCTGGGTTTCGGTTGCTCTTGGTCCGTCGTCGGGTGTTGGCTTCAGCCGCCTTAGCCGTCGTGGAGCATAGGTTTGGGGCATCGGTACGTAGCTTGACTGGGGCCACTGACCATGTCCTGCACAGGCATGTTCTGCAAACTTGCAGCGCTTCGGCGCAGGGAGATTCCAACATACTTGTGGGAATGCACCACCACTGTGCAGCTTGTTGAGAAGGTGCAGGTGCCCCTCCTGGTTGCATGCTGCACTATTTGCAGCGGGCAAAAAGGACAAACGTCGGAATGACGGCGTTTCGACCACGAAGTCCGTTCACCCCCATACACTCCCAACACATTCCCAAACTATCTTATCGAAGCAGATGACCATTTATTGCCCGTCAAAGCTGAGTTCACTGAGTTATCACTTCTCCAAGCACTCCACGAGGCCGCACTTTGGAGTCCCCTCTTGGACTGCCTGGACCAGCTGCAGGAGGAGAGGGTTTGGCACGGGCTCATGCCCCCTCTTTGGCATGGCTTTGGTGGGGCAGAGGGCTCAGGCTGTGTTGGCTTCTCCTAGCGCAAAAAAGGGCAAAGTGCTGGCTTCCCGACTTCCCGCGGCACTTTTCGGAGCAACTTGGACTCCTTTGGATTTTGGATTCCTTTTGAACTCCTTAGTAACTTCTTGCTCCTCTCCTTCCTGTTCCTGTTGGCCCGTCTGTTCGTAAATTGGAGAAAGGTGTGCTGGTGAGCTCTCATGCGATCCAAAAGGGACAGCCGCATGTCGGTTCTCTAGCTTACTCCAAATGAACGATATTCGAAAGAATCATGAACGAACCCGCCACATCCAGTTCCTTCGCTTTCAGGCCAAGCTTGTGGCTTGCGATTAATTGGAGGGGGATGCCCCTCTAGGGATCTGTGATCCGTCGTTGTTTGTTTCAGACTTTCTAAGCCCCCCCCCCCAAGCCCGAGCTTCAGGAGATCCGACGACGGCAGCGGGCGAAATACAGGCCTGCGGGCCCTAACTTGTTCAAGCTTCGGGTTTTGGACGGCTGTTGAGACCGTTGAGCTCACTGGAGGACCATGAGCAAATGCTTGTACAATCCAAGCCTTTCTCGGTGTCATGTGTGGGACACCCATGATCACATGGGATTTTGTTAATCGTTGCTGGCAGTCTGGCGGAGAACAACAGGGGGGGCTGAGGCTCATAAGCAGGACTCAGGCCAACGTGGATGCCTGTCTGATGATTTGATTGTAGTTGCAAGTCAGTCTGTCAGGGGTCTTCATGATGATATGGCAGATCCCTGACAAGTTGGGGCGTCCTTCCTCCCATGGATGACCCCTGCCAATGCTGCGACCTTGTCAAAAAAGTGATTGCATTCCAGGATACATGACTGCTTCCCCCTTCAGGCACCGGGTGGGGGCGGGAGGCATCTATGCCAGTCTTCAGTTGGGCTTATGCCCTAGGCATTGAAGTGCAAACTGATCACACGCTTCCAAAGAGCGACATCGTGTTTCAATAGCCGCTCAGTGGCCTGTTTTGTTGGGGGCAGCTGCGCAGATGCTCGATAAGCTCAGGGCCATCAGATTGTGGAGATGAAGCTTTACATCATTCACCTCACGGCACCCAGGTCGCACATAGGAAACCAGGAAGAGCCAGACTTTCTGTCTGTGACAGCACGTACACGCGGACCCCACGCTAGGCAGTTCGTTTGTCTCCGTATGCCTCGGCATGTCTCAAACTGTCTCTTAAGTTCGGAGTAAGAGTGGTGCCGCTTGATGCGATGGCAGTGAGTGGTTTATCGGAGATCATGGGGCAAAGTCGGGGGGAATTCGGCACTTTCGGCGAGGCAAAGGGTTGCAGTGAGCGATGGGAAGCTCTCCAGTGCTCCCAAGAACCTCCCAAGGAACCTCTCGAAACCCTTATACGCTGCCTAAGCTCCCTAAACCTGAGGAGGTGTGGTACGGCTCCCGGCGAGGGGGCAACTTGAGCATCCTCTACAGCTGGTTCGTGGACGCCGGGAGCTCACAGAATGACTAAGATTTCTTCAAAGCCTCGAACCTTCACTCGTAGCAACAATCCCAACGCCACACGTAGCAAGATTGTTCTTTGCGTTTGCGACGGGGTTGTGTTCAAGCGCCCGGCAGGGTCGAGCGGATGTTTTGCTCAGCATGCTACAGGAGTTTGTGTGGGATGACGGTGGAGTGATTCGGACAATCTGGACACTAGGTCGTTGACACTGATGTTGCCATATGTTGCCCCTCGGTATGTCCCTGTGCCTCTCAGAGTTGGGCTCAGGCGATGGGCATTCTTGGGGTGACAGCCTATTCCTACGACGACTTGTCGGGCGCATAGCCAGTACAAGAGAAATGACAAGCATCAGGTTGCAGAGCCTGCATAGTCTGCTGCGTTTTGAATCTCCCGACGCTGCCGTTCGAAGCAAGTCATCATCTTGGCACTTGCACTAGCTCTCAGTAGCAGTCATTAGCACGCTGCGCACGCTGCTCCAGAAGCAGCAGCTCTCGTACCCGCTCGTAAGCCCCACAAGCCGGAGGCCCATCGAGCAAAGCCCGGATTGCTGGGCCACTGTGGTGGACGGCGATGCGAGGCGCCGCGCGCTGCAAGGCTGGCGGTTCTCTGGGGTGTGAGTGTGCCCAGCTCTCCATAATTGTGGTGCAAAATCATCCAAACTGTGAGAATTCCTCAACATGTCATGAGGACCATGCTTTGGCGAACCAGTCCATGATCCGTGGGGAACGGTGCTAGGGAATGTTTTCGTACAACATCGTACAATCTTAGGGGAGCGGTGCTTGCAATTTGTTCGAAAAGCATTCACTCTTTGACTACCAGACGGGCGATGAGAATCTACTCTTAGAAACTTGGGGGAAGGGGGGGGAGTGTGGGGGCGTGGGGTCGCGGGGCGGATGCGTTGATTTGTCCTTTCGGTGACTTACGGTTCGTACTTTATGGCAAGACATTCTAAACTTCAGTTCAGGGCTTGGAATTATTCCTCTAGCAAGTCAACTAGTCTGGAGCACAAGACCAGCAAGAGGGCTGCCAGCCATTTTGGCTGACCACAAGCGGGACAGCCTGAAAACTGTTGAGCCCAACTAATTCGGCCTTCCCATCTCCAAAAAAGTTGTAGACCGAAACTACTTAACACCCAAGAGGTCCTAAGGGCTGGCCCGGTCCAAAACCCATCAAACCCTGATTTCGAAACAGGTCGCAGCGGCATGGCTGCTTGGCAAGGGCTCTGCCGAACCGTTTTCGGGTCTTTGTGGTGGGAGGTACACTCCAGGCATCTCCAGGCCCTCCAGGCCTTAGGCTTCTCAGAAGCCTCGAAGCTCATCACGCTAACAAGCAAGGCGAAACAGCAGTCTTGGCCTTATGCCCAGCATCCTGCACCCCTAAGCCCGAAGGAAGGCTCCCAGAGAAAAATCGAGAGCTTCACCCAAGGATTCCGCCTACGTGGCCACGGGCGGTGTGGCCCAGAAGCAGGGGCCTGCGACCCAGGAAGGGCAGCAACTTCCTTTCTCTTCAACCCATATTTCAGGGTCGCAGCGTCTGTGGTCTTCAAACTTGTCTTTCCTATTTTGTGGATGAGGTTGGGGTGACAGGCCTTTAGAACACAATGGTGAGGTTTGCGCCAAAATGGCAAGATGAAAGTCCAATTTCCCCGACGTTGCGGGTGCTACGGTTCATGATCTTTTGCGGCCTGGTGCTGGCTGTGGGCGTGCACTGTGCAAGCTGGGAGTGAGACTGTGAAAAGTTCTGTTGCCATGTACAGCGCAAATGCCGAGTGGCCCGGAAATTCCCTGCCTCACAAGTACGTTTCAATGTCCCTTTCGGCTAAACCTTGGCCATTTCCTTCCCGCCGAGGCGCTCAGCCATCGACAACACGGTGCTGCGGAACGTGTTCTACCCGTGGGAGGTCTTTGCTTTCTTTTTTGTAGGCCGCGAGGAGGGGGGGCTGCTTCTTTCGAAGAATTCGGTTTCAGAATGGTGGGAAAAAAGCTCCGCCCGCGGAAGCAAAAGGCACGGGAGCTTCTGGTGGGCCGCCTGGCACGGAAGTTCCTCAGCCGGCTCCTAGCACTGCGCCAGCGCCGCTCGTCAGTTCATCCTTAGAGTCTATAAGGAGGAATAAGAAGTTCCTTTCTTTCTTGCATGATTTTTGTTTTGTTGTGGCTATTTTGTTGGTCAGATTCCTCGCCCTCGAGTCATAGAGACAAAGAGGCGCCATCCTGCGTCGCTTGTCCGAGCACCTGCAGCTGGACGTTCTTCACTTGGCGCAGGCTCGACAACGCCTCAACATCTCAACCCCGGATTCAGCAGATTCAACCCCCGGAATGCCTTGATCACCAGTAGCAGTGAGGTTGGTTTGCCTTCTAATGATTAGAATTGCCTTCTAAGACCCGAAACTTTCCCCCTAAACCCTGAACCGTCCAAGAGCATCGGAGGATGTTCGGACGCACCGCGCCGTGCGCAGCATCCTTACTGCAACACCGGATGAGGAGGTCAAGGTGACGGCGGATCGGCTTCGTGGGCTTGGATGTATGTGTGAGGGGGGATCCGGCGAGTAGGTTTTCAATTTTCGAGGGCTTCTCGGGGTGTGGAGTTAACATAGTTAACTCGGTCTTAAATCAAAGTTAAGCGGAACTACCAGAAATCTTCGGACCATGTGGGGTTTCGTGGCATCTTGTGGTTCCAAGAGGGCATCGTTTTGGGGATCTTGGGGGGGCCCTATTTGGACGAGTCTGTCTTGGAGGTTTTGGGCCTGGATCCCCAAGACCGTCTACTGCAGCTGCTGCGAAGGCCTGGGCTTTCAAGGCCAAGGCAGAGTCCTCGAGAGGCGAGTGTCACACCAGCTTCTACGGACCCACCATAATTGTGACGCATACGCGTAGGCCGGAAGGCACCCTCACCGTACTCTCAAAGCCCCAGAAGCCGCCGGAACCGCCGAATGCCTCGAGGACGGGCGCGGAGATCGCCGGCTTCGGACAGCTGGACGAAAGAATGCAGAGGAGATGCGATCTCTCTCACTCTCGAAACCCCGAAGGGTCAACCGCCTCAGCTCCCTTCAGCCGCCCCCTCGACCAAAGACCTTGCCTCGGAACAGCTATCCTCCTTGGCAGGAGTGTGTGGGAGGCTGCAAAGGCACTCCTCAAGGCGCCAAGGGTATTTTAAGTGTTTTGGGGTTTGGGTCCACGGTCTTCTGACTGGATGGCTACCAACACCTGGTTTCAATCAACCCTAGGACCCTCGGACGTATATCTTGGCCGAAGAAGCCGCGAGTTACTAGGAGTTACCAGGTGAACGCCAATTTGCTCAACCCTGAGGAGTCAGCCACCCCTCTGCAGCAAGAGCCCGCCGAGGGGACCCCGAAGGACAGGGCGAGCAGTGGTTCTTCAGTGCTTTCGCGTCTCGAGGTCTAGGTGGTATCAAGCGTTCAGATCAGGATCAAGTTATTGAGTTTCATCCTCAGGTCATGCCTCGTCTAGAACACCGCCGTCGGAAAAGAATTAACAAGCAACAGCTTCCCAAAAAGCTGGACTCGCCTCGACTCCGAGGCTCTCAGGGTTGGACAGAAAAATCAAACATCCCCACACACACCCGCTGACGTCTCCCATCCGTAAGCCTAGGACATCTTCGCCAGGCCCACCGAAGGGTCCCTTTCGGGGGCTGTTTCGGTGTTTTCGGCGTTTGTGGGTTCCCATGGCGACTCGGAGACATGCAGAAAGGAGGGTTGCCGACAACTGGGGATGGGCAGCTCGATTTTGTGGACAAAGTCACATGTATCCTAATACATTTGCGAGGCTGCTAGGCCGTGTGCAGTAGCAGAGTAACATTTCAGGCAGTCTCTCGTGGTTCGCTCGCACCTAGTGTTTATCGACAACGTGTGAACACCCCTGTCGGCTACTTGTGTCGCAACTGGTTCTGCGGCGACTTTTGCCACAGGCAGTCTTATGCCAGCTCATGGCCTACTCACGCTCCGCATCGGACTTTTTGGATACCCTCCCTCCCTACCCTGCCCCGCTAAGTCACCTGTGCTGGAGAAAAAGTCCAAGTGATCGGATGGTCCGGCAAAAGGTTCATCCGAGACAGAATCGTCGAAGAACTGCAATATGCAGACAGAGACTCAACCCACCACGCTGCGCACATCGCGTGGCGACAAAAACCCAGCTGCGCTTCTGAGTGCTTCAGCTGTTCGTGTCTGCAAGCCAGACTTGCTTCATGGAGGTTCATAGTCTGGAGTCGCGAGTACCCGGGCGAGTTTTTCGAGCCACGCGGCTGAGCATTCTTGCCATTCTTGCCATCTGTTTTCTAAGGTTCCGACGTGAATCGAGCAAGGGGTCCTCGGGCCCAACTCTTAAACCCTGAAAACCGTTTAAGTTTAAACAGATACATAGCCGGACACCCTTTCTGCTCCTCGACCTCGACCTCAGAACCCTATAACCGCACGAAGTTTCCAAATTGGGCGGCTCCAGGCCTTACATCGGGTTGTGCAGATTTTGTTGGCAGATTTACCTTCTGAATTGGGCAGCACAAGGAGAGCAAACACTCCAACTTCGGGCTGGTCTGGGTGGCTTCACTCGTTTTTGTCTTTGTTGCTATCGTTTAGGCCCCGTTTAGGCCCCCGCATGGCCTCGCGCTGTCACTCCCTGGCTTCGGGGGCATCCAAGGCACGACAAGTCACGGCATGTGACAGTCAAGATTGCCGGAATGTTCTCACGCCGCATCGTGTGCCTTGGCGTGCAAGGTGTGCAGCGACAGTGAACGGAGGTTTTTCTATAACATGGTTTAACCTTTCGGGTTTATGGATGGCTCCGGGAAGCTTGCAGTGTTGTGTGTGTGTCGGGCTGCTAGGGGCCAGGGGGTGCAACATGCAGTACTGTAGCACACGAAACTGTGTACACGGTTGCTCCCGCCTTGCATCCTGCGCATGCAAGGGTGGTCCGACGCTCAACCATGGAGCGGATGACCTTGGCGAGCAGCTTTGCGAGACTTTTGCAGGTTTGCATGAAACTTTTAAACTTTAAACGCTTCAGGTTAAGAGAATATCACTCGCGTTCAGGTTCTTAAAGGGACAAAGTTTAGGGCTCAGGGTGTGTTTTATCAGAAACTGTTGGGGGTATTTGGGAATCTTGCTTTTTGACTCTGAGACGGAGAAGGATCCTCGTTTATCCGGTTCAACAAGCCTGGACGCCCAAGCAAGAGAGTAATAGGGTTAAAGTCCCAAGCGCAACCCTAAGCCAACTGGAACTGCTGGAAACGACTTCCGTCAACGGCCACTCGACCTTTCCGCCTGTGAACAGGCGTGGTAGTCCTGTTTTATACTTCTGCATTTTCACATGTGCGTGTTTAAGCCGTTGCTGTTTCAAGAGCTTCAAAGACAAGTTAAAGTTCAACCGTTGAACTGGTTGATGAACACCATCCAGCCACAATCCTGGCAGCAAAAGGCTCTCTCACGAGTCCCAACTTGTGCTTTCAGGATACTTCCCGTTGACCTGGAAGCGGCAGCAGCCACTCTGGGGCAGCGCTTCCACTGGCCACTTCCAGGACATTCGACAAATTTGCTTTTCAGATTCGCCAGAAGTAAGCCTTTCTTGTGGGAAAGTTGCGAAAGGCAGAAGGCTCGAGGCTGTGGGGATGTTTCTGTCAGACTCTAGGGACAATGCTTGTAGTACATCATATATATATATATATACATATGTACATATATATATATATATATATCTATCTATCTATCTATCTATCTATGTATATATGAGATTTCAACATGAATCGGACATTTGCAGGCTTGACGGCATGGCGCGAAAGTCCGCGATGGTGCTCGCGAGAGTAGGATTCGATTTCGCGAAGCCTTTGCGTAACCCATGCCTTCTGCGGGCCTTGTTTGAGGTCTGTCACTAAGTGCTTTGCACCTGCCGACGTTCTGCAGGGGTACAAGTTCGAAGTCCTGTAGTTAACAACAATGCACATATTCACAACAACGCATGCCTCCCGCTGCGCAAGAGAAGAAGCACATGCCTCTAGATTGCCAGGTAAGGCCGGCCGGAGTCAAGGAAGGCTCCCACGTGCGCGCCAACGAGTGCAGCATGGCCGCACCCACATCGAGCATGAGAACACATGTCAGTTTGTCGGCTTGTTGGGGGGAGGGATTGCAGACCGAAGGTTTGGAGCATTAAGGTCAAGAGCAGGGCGCCTTTACACCTGACAAGAAGCCCAAGATCCCCAATCCAAAGGCACCTTCCCTGAGCTCCAAGTGCCACAGGCCCCTATGCCGGGTTGCACGGCATGGCGCTCTCTGCCGGCGGCTTCGCCTCCGACCAACGGTGTAACCCCGACCGGAAGGCGTGTGTAGAGTGGGAAACAAAGAAGGTTCCGTTGGGGGGAAGCACAAACCGGGCAACAGACTCTTAAGATGTGTTAGGAAATGGCTGAGGACTTCAGGTGTTTGGTTAGCGTACATGAAAAAAACATGCTGTAGTGCCTGCCCTTTGTCAGACCGTCGGGTACACCCTGCTCATGGAGCTGCAATGGATTCGCGATCCGCAGGTCACCGGGCAGAGTTTAGGGTGGATGGCCAGGTTCGTAAACGGGTGTCAGGGGCTTGTGCCATACTTGGCGATACCTAGTAAAAAGAGTCTCGGGTCGCAAGACAACTGTAGGGATGCGCAAAGGCGAACATCGAGAATTGGTACATCACGGACATTGAGAAGATCATTCAGGAGACTTGGGAAGAGCTTTCAGCTGTGGCGGACTAGTGCATGTTGACTGCTTGAAGACACATGGCATGAGCCACGAAGCATTGCTCGGCGTATGCAGACTATAAGTACAAGGATATTGTATGCAAAAACAGCGTATATTATCTGCAAAAGATGTATATGAGACAGCGGGGGTGAGCTGCCCTTTCCAAGCAGGAGGCGTGGCAGCTGTGCCCTGGCAGGGAGCCGAAAGATCAGCCCGAAACGGAAACACAACCTGGGCCACCCTGGACCTGCCACCATCTTCATCAGAAGATGTGGCAAGGAAGAGCTAAACAGCCCTAAAAATTCTCACCCCCTTGTGGTCTTTCGGCTTGGCGGAAGATGGATCCTTTCGCACATGAGAGCACAGCCAGGCACATCTTCACAGTTCTCGGCACCCCTGGCACCACAGCTCAGTGAAGCAAGGAATCCGCACGGCCCTGCTTCCATCATGCTCACCGGGGAGAAGTTCATCGCCGTGGGTCAGAACCCCAAGGCAAGCTGTTTCGTTGATGGCTTTGCAAGAATTACATGCCGGTAACGCAGAGAAAGTGTTGGTGTCTTTGGCACCTTAAGAACCCACAGATTGGGTTCTTTAGTTTGCATCCGAGTCTCCGAGTCTCGGCAGAGATGGACTCAACAAAGCTCAGCCCTAAGTGCCCCTTCCGCGCCAGCATGTCTTGACAGCGGTAATGCGGCTCTCCAGCCCTTGTTCTCAAGCCCCGAAAAGTTCATTTCCCCAAGCTTCCCACTTCCCAGACAGGCGCCTTCAAAAAGCTTGGAGGTTCTGCAAAAATTCACAAAAAGATGCACATCTAATGAATGAGCAACGGAACATCCTGTGCCTTCTCCAAGGCCTCCAGTTGACCAGTTGACTCATGCAGCCTGAGCCTATGATTCCTGTCATTTACCCTACACCCGCATAGCACGCGTTTATCGTAACGGCTAGTAGAGGCTCCTGACGCTTCGAAGGTGGGAAGCTCTATCCGCCAGACCCAGCACACGCAGCTCGCGCAAGGTCCCAGTCCGCCAGTTTTCAGGGGGGATTGTTGGGGCTCCTCGATGCTGACTGGGTTTAAGTCGTTTCTGGTTGTCGATTCTTTTTTGGTGAGGGGGCTAAGGCAGCAGAAGCAAGTATTCAAGCGAGTCAGAGTTTTCTGGGCGCAGACCGGCACCTTAGCTGTGTATGCCTGTGCACCTGTGCTCAATGTTTCTTCTGTGTTTCTGCCGAGACTTCGTCCTCCCACAGACAGAGAACCTTGTCACAATGCTACCAGGGCTTACAAGGGTTTCTGGGAGAACAAGCACTGCAGCTGTCTGGCAGTACGTCAGACAGCACGGTCGTTTGGCCCCATGATGCCACAAGCAATCCAAAGCAGGTTCTTGGAAGAACTACCCCGTGCTGCAGATCCCGGCCGCGCGCATTCTGGCGGCGGAGGTGCTCTTCCGCAGGATGTCTGTGTTGGGGGTGGGGGGGGGCGGGGGGGGGGGGGGAATTAGCAAAAGCAAAGCTCTCAGATGACGAAGTAGCGAGCTTCTCACGAAGGAGTCATCCCCTTGTTTGCCCCTTTTTGAGTCCAACACTTCCTTCCACCTGAAAAAAGCTTCGAGGCCGCCGATGTGCCCGAGAGTCCCGGTGCCGAGGTCGGACTTCGGGGCCGGGACGGAAGGGCTTTTCCGTTGCCAGTCGGGCTTTCGGGCTTTTGTTTATGGTGGGGGATTGTGCCATATGTGCCATGTCGTGCCGCGTTAGTTCTGGCTTCGGTCTTCTCGTTCCCACCCGACAAGGTGGGTTCGAAGAACCCAACCAAGACCAAACGGAGCCAAGCGCAGGTCGGCCGGCTAAGGGGCGACTGCCTGGGCAGCCACGCCGTCCTTGAGCTGGTCGAGATCGGCCCGGAGGCTATCAAGCGTATGTTCACATAGGGCTCATAGTTTAACACTGTTCAGAATCTATAACTCATACATCCCCCACCGCCTGGAAAACCTTAGGTCCCAAGTGTTTTTTGGGACAAGCATGCTTCACCAAAGCACAGAGTTGATTTTTGAGTGCTTATGTTTTGGACGCAGCGCGAGCTGTGCTGGGAAATGGACACGCGCAATCTTTGGACCCTCGAAATCTTGACGGTGCAATTCCCAAAAATGCAGACAGTCTTGGCTCCAAGCCTTGAACCCCAAAACCCTCAGCCCAGTTCAAAGATTAGCTCTTTCAACCTCCTCCCAGTTGATGCAGGTTGTCGAGCTGTGGGCTTTGGGTTTGCACTTCGTGTTGGGCTCTGGGTTCCGGGTCCCTTGGGCTCGCTTGCCCGCACTTGTTTCTGCCCACGTCCCCTTCCTGCACAATCCCATGCCCCCCGAGCATCCATGCCTCGGCCATGATTCCGGCCATGCTGCCGGAGCATCCTTTTTGCGCCTACAGCATCCGTAGCCGAGCCATGTTTACGTCTATTTTGCCATTGCACCCCTTGCCCAGAGCTTCCATGCTAGGTTCGACATGGTCTGCGAGAGCTCGGCTGGACAAAGAAGAAAACTTAATGCTAGGAAGAAGGAACCATGGCAAAGACTGTCCATGCAGCGAAACGTTGAATATGCGGCGGGAGCTTGTGCAGCCATCCTGTCGTAAACCTGCACAAGGGAGTCCTTTGGAAATCAGAAGGTCTGACGGATGCATGGTTTGTGGTTCGTGAACAACTGTTACGCTCGGCCATGGATGGATGCTCTGGCCAATGGATGCATTCGTAGCACGGACGTCATCGTCATTAGACCCTGAATGCTACGGCTCATGAAGATTAGCACGAACATGTCATGGTTCGGCCATAGATGCTCTGGCCATGCTTATGTTCATGCTACCAGCGCATCCATTGGCCAGAACATCCATGGCCGAACCGTGATTACCATGGCCGAACGATGATTACCTCCATGCTACCAGTGCATGCATGCCATTCTTTCCCTCGTGCTACTATCGATTAGCCAGAATACCCATGGCCAAGCGATGATGACGTCCGTGCTATGCACCGGCCGAGCCATCATTACCATGCCCGAACGATGGGTACATCTGTATCCATACCAGGATATTTCTTGTTAATGATGGTTTTACAAACGTAGTCACGGTTCGCTCTAGCCGCTGGACGCACTGATGAAAAGTAATCATGGTTCGGCCATGGATGCTCTGGTCACCAGCGTAGTAAGGCCTCCCTTCCCCGACCCTCAACAAGAAAAGCAAGGCAAGACACGGCCGTCTTGGTACGGTTCAGACATCGCTAGCATATATGTGGGGTGAAGCAAGGCTTATTCGCTTTTTGATTGTTTTGTTACTTCCGGCTGTGAAGACTTTCGGGCATTTAGCATTTAGCATCATTGCTGTCTAAGGCAGTTTATTTTCCCTGGGCCCCGGCATTCAGCGGCATCAGCTACTACGAGTGTGTGAAAAATACCTCGCACCTGGCTTGGCACTCCCCACTCTGCGCACAGGGGTCGGAGCTGGAACAGCGTGGGACGATGCTGAGGAGCCGAAGCAGACAAAGCTGTAGGAACGCTGACCCGTACGTTCTAAGGTTAGAAGCATCACCGCACTAACAACACTCGATCTACGCGTGACCCTAAACCCTCCAGCCCCAAGCCCCTTCGATTCAAACCCCATACATTCCCGCCATAGAGTGGCAGGATTCGCATTCCACAGCCTGCTTTCCATGGCCTGATGCGCTTCCTAGTGACGCCCGGCAGTTTGGGAAGCGCCCAAAGCCGATCCGAGAAGCTATAAGACACCAGAAAAGCCCCCCAAGCTCGAAGGCAACTGAACCCTCAAAAAGTTCTTCCCTTACACATGTGTACGGATTGCGAGCACCATTAAAGCACGACCAAAGTATTAGCAGCTATGCATCGGAAGCACATGGCAACTCGAGGCGCCTTCGCCTTCGCCTGCTGGAGACTTGGGAGCTCTTGGAAAAAGGTGCTGTTTTGTGTTTTTCTTGTTTCTGTTTCCTTGTCTTTCCCTATCGGCACAACTTGAGGGTGAAAGCCAAAGAGCCCTTCCCCAGAAATCAACTTCAGAGCGAAGGAGAAGCTGGGAGGTGCTGAGGCCATCGCCGCTCAGAGGTGTTTTGTGGCGGGGTCGCGGGGGAGAGAATGCCTGAACAAACAGAGGACGCGAGAGGACGAGAGAGGACGTGTTGAGGGATGTGGTTTTTTGGCTTTAGGCATGGAGAGCTTCAGTGTTTGAGTCGAGGGCGCCACACGGATGAGCAGTCCAAGCAACTGGGTCCAAGGACTTCCTTGTCCTGTGCCTCAGCGATGAACAAGGCACGACATCTGCCGAGCCAGAGCAAGAGAACATACAACCTGATTGAAACTACTAGTATGAGAAACTGAGGGACTGAGGGACTGAGGGACTGAGGCATCTTCAGATAGCAGAAGTCACAGGCTACAGCCAAAACCTCCATTTACTCTGCCCCTCTTGTACAAGCAGGTGGAAACTGAACTTTAAAGCTTTGCTTTGAGCTGTCCTGCATTTGGGGTTGTAGCTTCGGGTGTAAGAGCCTTTTTCAAAGAGCTTTTTTTCCTGAAAGGTGGATCCAAAAGGGCCGTAACGAGTAACGATATTGAGCCACCCTCCCCCCAGTTTTTCTTTTACGGTTGGCCGGAACGCACGGAAGTAGCTACGCAACAAAACAGCAAACTGAGCATAGCAGTGCATGGAGCAAAGAGGGCGCAGAGCAAAACGAATGAAGCAAAACGCTGCTTCTTTGAGCTTTGAGGAGGTTTTGGGGCTTGCAGGTTGTCGGGTGGAGGGTTGCAGAGATCCTGCGGCTTCGGGTTTTGGGGTTCTGGCTCGGAATCATGGGGGCTATGCTTGTCGGATTGTAAGGGAACTTCCTAAGGCGCAGGGTCGTGCGCACCGAAGTTTTTCCACTTCTCATTACCCCCCCACGTGAGAAAAGCAGTGGACTTGGAGCCCAAGGGCCGCAAAAGGCACTTCCCGTCAGGGGCAACGGGTAGGCTCCCCTCATGGGCAAAGAGTTCTTTTCACAAGGCATTCCTCTTGGGGCCCAGGGTTTTTGCTGGAGGAGTCTAAGCACCAAATGTCGGATTCCTCGACAAAGTACAGAAAGGTGGCTTTGTCGTGATCTTCGCGCCAATCCCGCAGCTTATGAAGATGGAGGCCGCAGACCTTTGCTGCGGAGAGTTTGGAGTCTGGTTGGACGTCGAGTCTTGGAGCTTGTGGTGTAGGTTTGACCTGTGAGCTGTGTGGAAGCAGTGCGAGGTGAGCTGCAAGCACAGCATCTCTGTGAACTCGAACATAGGGCTCGCCTTCTGAAAAGGACTCCAGGCACCTCTCAATCGCTGAGTCTAAATTTTATAACAAGGTTCTTTCCCGTTCATTATCAGCAAAGACTTCCATGGACTCGATCTACATCCGGCTTTTTCTTCTCTCACAGAATGATACATCTCCTACTCCTTTGCATGTAGTACCTGAACTGTATTTCTCATGCCGATCTGCTTCCTTAACGGCTGCAACTGCAGGGTTGTTCATCCGAGAAGCTGTCCTTTCAGCATCGTTCTATGCCACAGAAAAAGATGCCCAGTATATTTATGATTTTCATTTACTTTTGGTGTTCTGATGGATGGTGAGTTTCCTGTAGAGCTTTCTGTCTTATGGTCGCATCTTGACAAATTCCCACCCCAACACTTCCATCCGAACCCCAAGCCTAGACCCTGAATTCTGCAAAACTTCTGCATCCTTCAGCCCTTTCCAAAGCTTCTTAAGCTGTTCGGCCACCAGGATGGGCATGCCGACCTGGTCCCTTGGGCCAACCCGCTAACAGGCGGGCCCCGAAGATCTTTTGCCGCTGGGCCCATCGGGCTGTCGTGGCTGTGCTCACGTTTCTGGAACCGCAAAGTTTGCGTACCGGTCTTTGTTGTGAGCCTCCTGTTAAAGGTCAAGTTTCCTGGCTCGGTTATCCTCAATCGTTCTTTGAAGGTACCTTCTTCCTCCGCCTCCTCAAAAAAGAGCCAGGTTGATAGTTCTTCTTTCTAGCAAACCGAACTGAACCTAGCTGGACCCCGACACTCCGCAGGGGAGTCGTCCGAGACGGCTGGAATCGAGGAGAGCCGGTTGGACTTCGGCAAAGGCTGGGCGGGCACAAGAAAGGGCCAGCGCTAGGCCTGGGTTACCCTTTTGCGTCCCGCTGCGGTATCGGCCTCCTCTACACCAGAATCCCTTCCCGTTGTGCCCTGAAACCCCTGGTGGCAGACATGCTTCCCAATGCAGAGGCGTCGGCCACTTCCTGGTCCTCAAGGACGCGCTCAGGGAGCAGCTGCTGGCCAAGGGCGAGGCCATTATGGGCTTCTGCTGGAGAAAAGCGTGGCAAAGCGAGATGTGACGATCCCGGGGCTCTGTGTGCGTGCATAGCCACAGCCGATCCCTATCCCCCACGCCCCCCATCTCACCTGTTCCTTTTTCATCTCACCTATTCCTTTCTCTCCACGAAGGCCTTGCAACCCTCCCAGAAAGCGGGTCCTGGCTCGTGATTTACTTTTGCCAGATTGCTTTTCGAGCACATTTACACAAGGCGGGAATTGAATCCAAAAGATGCTAAGTGCACCCTTCTGTTAGTTCGTTACCGCATGGCGGTATCGTCGTTCTTGAGAACACAACCTGACTCCAGACTGCGAGCGTCGACAATTCCAAGGCTGTTGAGAAGCCCGATTCCAAACTCTGTGGCGGCATCCTTGTCGAAAACCTAAAATACCCTTTTGCTAAGCCGCACGATGGTACTACTTAACCCTTGTTAGCATGCGTTTGCAAAAACGCAGGTGTACACAGCTGTGAGTCAGGTGGTACACGATTTTGAGCCAGATTGTGTAATCCACAGCAAGGATACCACCTCGAACTGTTGAATCAGTTTTAAAGCCAAGGATACAGCCACACTTAGTGTTGAATCAGGTTGTGCTTTCAAAGTCGCGGATTTATCCCTGTGTGAAGGCTGAACTGGTGATGTCTTCAATATGAATATGAAGGTTTGGGCTTTGGCGCTCTGGCGTGGGCGCGGTTGTTATAGGGCCTCTTTCTCGGGCTCTGCCATGGTTCTCGGCAGCCACTGTTGGGTTGGAAAACCCCGGGTGCAGGATACCCTTCGCCGAATCTATGCCTTCAACCGGGTGCCCGGTGCCAGAGCCGTCATCGACGAGTTCCTGGAAACTTGGTGGATCCAAGAAGAGTTGATCTTACACCACCACCGGTCTAAGCTTTACGTACATTTATACCACCAGGTGCGGCTGTAAGACAGGGAAATAGCTTCGCCGAAGCTCTGAGAAACAAGTGCTGCGCCATGCTGTTGAGAGATCCACACAGGAGAGCGAGAACGTGATAGAGCCCAGCTGAGCGAGGGCTCGTGGGTATAGGTGGTATAGGATAATGGACGCAAGACGCGCAGATCGTTTTCCGGTTTCACCACAGGTCTGGAAGGGACCCGGCCACGGGGTTTCAGGTTTCAGGGACTACTGTACTGGCTGAATGGCGAGTTATGAAGTACGCTTCAGAGACGCCTATATGGTGAGGACATAAGGCCAGATCTTCCCTTGAAGTGTGCAGGGGTTGGCTTGTGTGAAGAAACACATTCATGGTACAAACGTCAACGCCAGTTCATGCTCTCTAATGCTCACAAAAGATGTGGATTTTGACGCAGGTCCAGAACACGAACCGTCAAGAATCAATGCAGCACAACTCTGCAATGCAATCCGAAGCTTCGCTCACTGAGGGTTTTTGGCTACCTTGGCATGCTGCAGACAGCTTGTACGCAACTCTTGCCAACAGAAGTCGTTGGGGTTCGGCGGCCCTTTTGGGCCAGTCGCCCGACCCAAACAGAACGGGTGGTTATGCTTCTCTCTTGATGTTCTGTATCCTGACCTAGAGCGCTTTTATCGCATCATAACTCTCAGTGCTTTTGGCATTCCAAATCCGACAGCAGGTGTTAGGTCAGATCGCGTCATGTCTTCTCTGGATTCTTTAGTGGAGTGGCTGGCCTTAGCCTGATCAGAGATCTGCAAGTGCATACAAGTGTATGCAAGTATCACTTTGATGGCATGAGCTGGGCACGTGGGGCCGATTAGAATGCGCATCAGGCTTCACATCCATGGGTCCATCGTGGCTTGCTCGTGCTTTCCTGTTTCACACACCATAGCGCCTGGTTACCAGCGATTGTCAGCCTGCATGAGTGCCAAGCAACAAGGAACAACAAGGTGAACCCAACCAACTGATAGGCCGTGCATGTATAGCCCAGCCGACGCAGATCCCCGACCCGTGGACATCCACAGATATTCGCGGACACTGCCGCATCTTGTCTTGACACAGATTGGAGGAATAGGATGCGCATGGCGAAGGGCACAACGAGTAGCCGAGTAGTGGTTCCAGGTAACTAGGAGTGAGGTCCAGGCTAAAGCAGCTATACATGTTCACAATGCCACGCTCAACTCAGAACCAGCCCCAACCCATCCCAAACCCCGCATCCCAAACAGCTCCCAAGCTCAAGTACAGAGGGACTCCTCAGTTGCACCCCGTATGGGGGCCATGGGGTGAGCCAATGCCGCTGGCGCACCGTGACTTCTCGTCCGTGCCGCTGCGGCCGCACTGTGCTGGGAGGGGGGGAGGGGACGGGAGTGTGAGGGAGTGAGACAGCAACTATGAGGCTTTGCCTTCAGTCCAGATCTCCTAGGCTGACGAAACACGGCTTCGCGGAGCTCAAAAAGATCGGAGAAGGCAGCAAGGGTTCTGAGAGGGTACCAGAGGATTGAGAGCCCCCTCACCACCAACAAAAAGCGCAAACATGCCTAGCCCCTAAAGCCAGCGAGATGGGGCTCCGCAGGATCCTTCGGGAAGGCCCTTCTGGTACAAACCGAGGATGGTACAAAGCTGGTTTGTGGACTTGGCAGCAGAGAGAGACATCACAGGGTTGAATATAAGACGCAATTTCGGACAGGCGGCGTTGAGGTTGCAGGGAGGGGCTCGGGGCTTAGAATCCCATGAGTGTGCTTTCCCCCAGCTGTGAAGCCTGAGGCAAAGCTGTGGACGTGAGCTCGGCCTCCTCCAAGGAGACGCAGGTCGGAGAATGTCTTCGAACGTCTTTGAACACTCGGAGGTTCTGTTTGTTGGACTTCTTTGAGCTTTGTGGTGGCTCCGTCTTGGTTTGTTGTCCGTCGGCTCGCAAGAGTTCCAAGTTGAGAGTTCTGTTTCAGAGCAGCGCGGCCTGCAGCATCCAGCTCTTTGTTGGGTCATGGCTGTTCCTCTTGGACTTGATTGACAGGATGCTGTGAAAGAGAGCCGTTTGCTGGCTGCCCGGAGCTCGGAGGATGTGCTGAGCTTCTTTCGGTAGGAAGCCCCCCCCCCCCGCCCGCTCTGTCCGAGCCTTCTTGGGCCGAATCCGAAGGCTTTGAAGCATCCCTACATCGTCCGGTATCGGCACAGCTTTATCGAAAGCGGCCGGAAGCCCGAACTCAGGGAAAGGGTATGACTCAGATGGCGCTAAGGCTGCAGCGAAGGCTGCCAAGGGCTTTCAAGGTTTTGAGACGGAGGGTTTTGCGGGCTCAGGAGGCCTGAATGGCAACTGTACTCCAGCACTCTGGAAGGCTCTTGAGAAGACTTCCTTGCAGCATTTCAGCAGCCTCTTGTCCCGAGTCCCACGGACTGTAGTCCACGCGATGTAAAGAATCCTCTTTGAGAACAAAAGCCCGAATCCACCGAACTTCAACCCCCACCAGGTTGGCTCTGCATATTCATGGATTACTGCGAGGGCGGTGACCTGTCGAAAGTCATCGAATCGGCAAAGAGGACTCCTGGCTGGCCTTGTGAGTCTAATCACAACCACCACCACAACCACCACAAACAGCAACAACAAAAGCAAGAACAATGAAAGGAAGGAGAACAACAAGAAACGGCGAAACCGCAACAGCCGCAATCTTTGTGAGACCTTGGGCGCATGCTGGAGCCGCCACTCTTGCCAGTTTGAATAGTGCTCGGAGCCCAAAAAGGAGGATCCCAAGTCTCCGTAGTGTCCTTGCGCAGGTGTCTCAACCGTAAGAGATGGAGAAACCCCCCAAATGTCGCTCTCTTCAGGAGAGGCCAGCGCTTGCCTGAGGAACAGATCCTCCGCTGGATCACGCAGGTGCATAGCCACCAAGTCCCCCACGTTCATAGCACATCATAGCACCATACCCCCCCTCCCCCCTCAACTCAACCCTGTACATTGCCATACATTGCCCTTTCTGCTGAGCTCCTTGATTTCGAAGCATGCGTCCTGAACGAGGCGACCTGCACGACTTAGACGATTATCTAGGCTCTGAGATGTCATTCTGTTGGGCCAAACGCACAGGCCTTACTGGCCCTGAAGTACATTCACGCAGCCCGGCCGCAAGAAGCTGTGGGGACGGGCTGTTAAAGGTCGACAGTTTTACATGACAGTTCTGTGGCCTCTTCGTCTACGCATCAGCTACAGGAGAAGCATGTTTTGCACCGTGATCTCAAGAGCTTCTTGGCCGCAGTGAAGGATCCTTCACCCAGCTGATCGAATCGTGAGTACGCACACGCGACTGCAGATGAAAAGTTGGTGGGGAGCCAACCCTATTCCTATACTGTAATCAGATGCTTAGTGAAGGACACCAACGATGTCTTTCACTTGGAAAGATGTCAGAGAGGGATGCCAGGTTTCTGCACGAGGAATGCTTACCGCCGAAGGTTGCAGCGATGACTTCGGCTTTTTGTCATCTCGCTTTTCGTGATCCTCGCGCGCCAAGGTGGGAATTTCTTCATCTCCAGCAGTGGCAATCTGAAGATGGGCGACTTCGGAATTGCGAAGGCTCTGATGCAGAAGCAACAGACATGTCTGAGGACTGCTATGGCTGCTGTGTGATGCGCGAGCGAGCCCGCTCCGTCCTTCACTGAAACCCCGACGACCGAAAAGGCCCGAGCTCCGGACCACTCAACAGCCGCGCCGAAATCCCGACAGGTACTGTCTAGCACCATGGCCTGCGCCAGGACTCAGCTCTTCGACCAAAAGAGTCGTTCAACCCCGGACTCAACCCCTTCTGAGATGATTTCGGTTTAAAGTTTAAACTCACCTTTGGGGGTTGAGGTTGGCCGCGGTTTCTGGGCCCCTTCAGCTGAAGCTTGCGTTTCAGTAGGTGTGCTAGTTGAGAACATCTAATGCAATTGTTATTTCTCTTGCTCAATTCTGCCTCCCGGTCCCCCAGAGAGTTTCAAGAAGTGTGGCGCGATGTTGTGGTGTCCCAGAGGCCCCCCGACTCCTCGTGGAACCCTTAAAAAAGAAAGACGGCTGAACCAAGGATCGGCACACCGCTCCTGGGCTTTACTGGGATCTGCAGGGGTCAAAAAAGGGAAGTTGGGTCGCCCTTTGCACGATGAACCGCCCTCTGGCTTTCTTGGAATTTGTCCCGGATCTCAGCCGAGGTATTACCTGAGCCCCGAGGTATGCCAAGAGAAGCCATACACCTGGCCTTCGGAACCTTGGATCTTGCAAGTGGCCACAATCTATTGGCCAAAATTGTGTGCCCAACGCAGGCGCAAGCGATTGCTTTAGGGCTGCTTTGCCAAGGACATCTGGGCCATGGGCTGCATCCTCTACGAGCTCTGCGCTTTGAAGGCGGCTGCGTTTCGACAAGTGCCGAGAGGCCTCGAGTCTGTGGAGGCGGCCCTGTGCTGCCAGGTGCCCTTCGATGCGCCCAACATCTCCGCGCTTGTGCAGAGGCGAGCTCAGGATTCGAACCCTGAGCTCCCTGAACCCCAAATCTCCCGAATCGTGTGGGCCCTTCTCCCGTTTCTCCAAGAGCCTGTACTGACCAGCGAAGTCCTTCCTTGTGCCCAAAAAGATGAGCCGAGGCCAGGGTCCGGTTCATGCGGTTCGGTTTGGCTTAAAATGTAGTAGGCGGCTAGGGAGTGGCGGCCGATCCTGTGCATAGAGCGAAAGGCCCAACCTTCCTGCAACGCACTTCGCTCGAGAAGGGCTTCGTGAAACGGTTGAAAAGGGTCTTTCGGATACGCTCCATATGTATTTCAATGCACTCGTCGATGGCATTCGGATGGCCACTGTACTCGAACAGGCGCTTGCTTCGGTTGACTTTGCCCGTCGTGTGACCTCATGCTCATGATATAGCATGGTTGCATCGCTGCCTGCTCCCAAACTTATAAACCTTGTTTAGCACAGAGCAGATATTTGTGATGTATTTGCCAGCCATCAAGAACAATCCGATCCTGCCAACTCAGAATCTGCCGTGGCCCCACGCCGACGCTGCCGACCTCCTCGGAGTTCCTGCGCCAGCTGTGCGGGGCCACTTGCCTGATTGGACAACAATGGACAACACGAGGCAATTTCAAATCGTGTTTGGTTTGGAGCATTTGGGAAGTCCCCTCTTTGGGGGGGGGGAGGGGGGTGGCGGCTCGTGAGGGCTTTTGTTTCCTTCCGTGGTTTTGGGGATTCAGGCTTTCAGATTCTGCAGTGCTGAGGCAGATAGTTGGGTGTGTCTATGGGCTCGATGGAAGTTTTTCTTCATGCTTTGACCGTTGAGCCTAGACGGCCCGAGCTCACCTAGACAAACCTGCACCTCAGATCACGTCGCCTCAAAGAGTTGAGAAGTGTGGAGATGGGAAAGGTGGGAGCTCAAGGGCGGCCGCGTCATTCTAATCCCATATCATATAAACGTGAGCGGTCATGGAGCCATGCCGAGGCAACGATCTTGGAAGGCTTATGGCTGGTTCAGATTGGGGAAGGGGTCAAAGAAATGACCCTTCAGAATTCAACCAACCCTACAGGACCCTAGCTCTCCGAACCCCTGCAATTTGGGAACGCACATGCGTTCTGAGGAGATGCTGCAGAGGAGCCGAGTGTTGTTCTTTTTCGGGCCTTGGCGGTAGTTCAGGGTTTTTTCCACAGAGAGAGAGAGAGAGGGAGAGAGAGAGAGAGAGAGAGATAGAGAGAGAGCTTGGAACCTTTGAAAACCACAACGGCGCAAGACCATTGAGTGCATTCAGAGCGTAGGCATACCACCTTACTCATGCGAAGTTTGGGCATCCGTTTTTAAGTTCTAAAGCCTTCACGCTGGCGTCGCCAGGAACCCTGCTCACCGTCCAAGCGCCACGCGCCCAGACCCGGCATCCGAGAGTCCTCTTGAAGAACCAAGACTCCGCGAGGGCTTTTCTCAAATGTTGAAGCTAGGCCTTCAAAGGTTCTTAGGTAGAAGAGATGGAGCACCCGCGTCGCAGGCAGAGGCCATTTTGCAGCGCCCGCCGATGCAGGCGATGGTTTGGGCCCCAATCTGCTTACGCGGAAGATCGCGGAAGCCATGACACCAAAAGCCGTCGGGCTGTCCCACAACAAGCGAGGGCTGCAGCTTAGATCTGCAAAAGTCGCGTTGTCATGAGACTTGCATCTCTAGGTCAGCCAACCCTGCGCCTTTTCCATGTTTTGCAGGGGACATAGACCTGCAGACTCCAAGCCAATTGAGGTCAAGCACATGTTGGAGGAGGCCCGGTTTGAAGTCGAAGTTGCAGCCATGTGAGATCATGTGAGCATGCCCTTGTCGCAAGAAAGGGCTTGTTCGGGCCATCACCTGTTCGCACCATCACCTCCCACCAGCTAACCTTGCTGCCATCCCGATCAGCAAGTTAAAACTCTGAAGCTCAGCATGTTCCAGCGTGTGGCAGTTTCTCACACCTGTTGGTCATGTCGCCTTCCAGGCCCAGGCTGCGCAAGAAGGCCGAGCTCCAGGGGGTGCGAGGGCTGCTTTTGTGCTCAGAATCTCTTCGAACATGCGAGAAAGCTCTGCAGGGAGAGGCCCCAAAATTTGAGCCCCTTCAAAAGCTGCCGAAACCCTGAAAGAGTCTCAGCCCCAGAGGCCGGGACGGCTCCGGGAGCGGGCCCCAGCGGACGCAGGGGGCCACAGCGAAGCCACGTGGGCTTGAGACCGCCCCCCAAAGCAGCTAGTAGCAGCTTGTACCTTAGTGCCATGTACTAGAGCATGAACATCCTGAAGCCCTTCTTGCTCGTGCATTGAGCACCAAAAACACATCCTTAAGTCTTTACGTCCTGCTGTCTTATCAGATGCCACTCCCCATCCAAGTCCCAAGGCATGAGATGTTGGCCCCAGCGCCGGCGCCGCCACCGGCGGCCACACCTGGGGCCACTCGGACGATCTCTGGCTAGGTTCTAGACAAACCAGCTCAACCTCGTTTCAGTTCGTATTATGTTGCACTCTACAGGCGTCTGGAGCTCATGTTTGCGGTGCAAAAGGCTTTCTTTCGACATTTATCGACATTCTTCATAAGGCCGAGAAGTTAGGACTGGTAGCCGATCGGTTGATGTCCTGTTCGGCTGCTGTTCGGACCGTAGTCTGTAACGGTAAGGTGAAACAGGCTTGCCAGGCCTGCATGAAAATGATGGCTACAAGGAGCGCAGGTAAGGTCACATAGGGGCTGCAAGCTGCGTTCCCAAATCTCATGAAACACTCTACAGTCGCCGTGGAACCACTGAGCCCAGGTCTCTGGACCATACGCCCTGCCGGCGGGCTTGTACTCGTCTACTCGTTTGGGAGGGAAGACGATCAGCAGGGACCCTTTTTTTGTGGAAGGTTGTGTGGGGGGTGTAGTTTGGAGTACATTCGAGTAACTTTACAACTACGGGCAACTGCAAGATTCCCAAGAAGCCGCTGAAAACTTGGAAGATCTTGAAGCTACACGAAGCTAGCAAGAATGAAGGCCCCAAAAGTTCCCAAACTCCGGTGTGTGCAGTGTGTGGCAGGCAGACTTCGCTGGCAGCTACAGGCGCGTGCTGTCCTCCTGCAAGCTTGCTTAAGAATAGTCACGTATTTGTTCAGAAGTGTTTTTTTCAGCATGTTGTTGTGTTTTTTGGTTTTTTAACAAGTTTATTGGGGGGGGGAGGGGCGGGAGGGGGGGGCCGTGGGGCGGCCGCGTCCAAGCAGGAAGGGTGACCTGATCGAGTACCACTCGAGCACTCACAGGGTCGGCAACCTGGATTTCCAGCTTGTCGAAGAGCCAAGAAAACTCGGGGTTGGGGCCCAGGAATGGTTGGAAGGTCGAAGTGCTCTGAGGTGAAGGGCTGCATGCAGCTGTTTGCTGTTGCTCCTGTTGCCCCTGGTAGAGTGTTGCGAATCCTCTGCAATCCTCTGCAACATGAGATTGATCATATGATATTTGTCGCCGGAACTGGGGAATCTCGTGAGAAGCGACGAGAAAGTGGGCTCAGCTTGGGCACTGCTCACGTGCGCTACCTCTTGAGAGATCTCAGACTTGCTTTTTGATTGGGCTTGGCAGCGCGCAAATCCTAGGAATGGTTGCCAGCACAGATCATCGATGTGGATGCTGAAGGCCAACACCCCATTGTTGCATTGGAAATGCGGAACTTGCTCGGAACCGTTTGCAGAACCCCCTCCCCCCCCCACCTGCATTTCACCTGCATTGCGGGTTCGGGGAGCGGTGTGCAGAGCCCGAAGCATACCAGTACTCCAAACCACACCTTCCCTAAAACTTCCGAAGCAGTCTGAGCCACCGGAGCAGGTCGGATTGTCATCGACCTCAAGCCCGGTCCACAGAAGGGTTTGGGGACTATGACTCGTAAGGGGACGAAACAGCAACCCTTCGCTTCAGGCCTCGAACGGCCTTCACAAGGCCTTAAAGCTCCTTCAACTCCCCGACAGCCAAAAGCCAAACTGACCCGAAGAATCCCCAAGAAAAATCCCAAAGTTTCGTCAAAGGCCTGGCACTTGGATCGTCCGTGGCGCGCAGGCGACGAACGTGCGCCCCCGAAGGCCAGAGGGGTCAGTTGTTCCCAGGTTTTCGTGGCAGAGGTTTCCGACGGAGGGTGTGTTCACTGTCGCGTTTTGTGCGAGTTGTCTTAAGGGTGCAACTGGAGGGGGGAGGGGGGGATAACCCTCCCCCACAACCCCCCTGCTTAGTTTTCGACTTCAGACATGTGTGCATTGTGTTTAGTAGTATCACGGAAATTGACCAAATTAATGCGAATCCCATGAGACAGAGGCAATTGAGCGTTCCTAGGTAAACCCTATTACTTGCAACAAGTATTAACATACAGAGGCAATGGAGTTTTTCCTCGGGAAAACCAAGGACATTGACAAAAAACAGATCGCGAAATCCACCCGTTGTTGACTGCTCGGCCTTGGCATGTTGCGCCAGATCCATGCCAGCCTTAGCCTTCATGTTGCTGACTGCTTGCGCTTCTTGCGCCACCAGGGCTGCAGTCGCCATCGCAGTTACGTATATAAGGTTTCTTTGTCATTCTCCCAGCCTTCTTAGAGTTCGACAATGTTCGATCACTCGGGCGCAAAAGATCTGTCCATTTTAGGCGCAAGCCCAAAATTGTAACGCTGCGCATCGACCGCCTCCGCCCATCCCGATGCAGAGGAAGACTTGACCCAAGCTTTGGCCTTCTTAATCTAGCACGCAGATTCACGCAGCTACTTCCAAGAAGAATAACGAAAGGGGGGATGAGAGGTGTGGAAACAGGGTGCCCCAATACTTTGGAAACCTGGGGCCGAGGCGAGTTTAAACAACGAGACAAAAGAGTGAAAAGCACAACCGCTTCAGAGCCCTTCTGTCAGGGCGTCGCCTGGGCCTGCTCGAAGCTCGGACAGTGGGCTTAAGGCATATTGGATCTCAAGTAGCTTGCGCCTTGTGTGGAACCTGCAGACTTGATCCCCCAGACTGAACCACCAAAGACCTCGGTGGCTGCTAAGGCGCCAGTCCCGCCTCCGTATCGCCAGCGCAGCCCGCTGCCACCTCTGGATATGGTTTGAAGTCCTTGAACCATGTTGAAAGCGTGTTAACGCGGGAGGGCCTGGTACTTGTAGGCACTGCGAGCTCCGATCACTGAGGTCCGTGGGCCGAGCAGGTCTGTGCAAGCCTCGGCTGCCTTTCTGCCTTTCTGAGGGGTGCGGCTGTCCCTCAAAGCTCCGCCAACGTCGTCGGTCGCTCTCCAAGTAATTTGTAAAATGCACAGCGTGAATGTTGTGGGTGCGCTCTCTCTCTCTCTCTCTCTGTCTCTCTCTCCCTCTCTCTCTCAACCGGGGCCCAGTTTTATTCTGGCCAGCAAGTCGAAGAAACGCCCGCTCATAGGCAGGCAACCTTCCAGATGCCACATGGTGCCAGATAGCATTGGGATGAAAATGGGGAGCATGAGGGTGGGAGTGGGAGATCAAGAGCACTCGAAGCATTGAAGGATAAAAGCGAGCCGTTTCTTACTCTCCTCAGCCTTCTGCACGGAGGCGGAGTCGAGTAGGCGAAGGCTTGGAAGCTTAACAGACGCTACATGGTAGAGAAAGCTGTGGAAACGGTGCCAATGGTGCAGTCAGCGCATCTCTGCTGATCTCCGATGGGTTCTCAGAAATACTACAGGAGTTTTCTGCCTTGCTCTGCTCGCTTCGAATCCTCAGCGCCATGCTCTCCTCACGTAACGGCACCCGTCGGTCGCCGCATGTATCCGCGTAGCCGCAATTTGAAGAGGGTGCTAGCGGGAGTGCGGGATGTTTGCACCCCGCCACCAAGGCGCGAAGCCTCTCCATGGCATGCGCGTCAGATCTCGCAAGGCTTCTTCAGAGCTTTTTCCGGGTGTAGGATGCTAGTGGGAGGCTACACTGCCACAACCAGGGCTCCTCTACAAACCTGACAAAGTGGAAGACCCGCAAAGGAGGCGCAGGGAGCCGCGAGCCCTCGCCACGTCGCCGCCCGGAGCCTGTGGCCTTCACTCCAGGTTCGGGGTTGAAAGAAGTGCCAGAGCCCTTGGCACCATCCAAAACCTGAATATATATATATATATATATGTAACATTCTAGATACATATATATATATATATAATTGTTTAAGCTTACTTGTTTATACATAGGTAACAGCGAAACAAACATCCCGAAACAGCCTGAAACATCCCCCCCATTTGCAGGGCCCGGCAGCCACTATGAGCCTTCGGCCCCGGGCTCCTTCGCGATCGGCAGGCGAGGTGAGGGCTATCAGTCTTTTTGGCTGCGTCTTAAACTCGGAGTTTACTACGATCGCACTGCGCGTTGCAGTGGTGTGACACTCTGTGATCTCAGGCCGAATCGGAGGGTCAACGCAGCAGGCCTCGCAAGAGTCAGTGGATGAGTCGCGGGTCGAGCATGGCGAAATTTTGATTAAACCAGCCAGAAAAGCGCAGCGTAGCAGCGTTGCTCGATGCTTCGTAGCCTATGCCCTCTCACAGGTGCTGCAATTGCTGGCATCTGACACAGCCAACAGCCTGCAACAGCGTGTGTTCGCGATGTGCCAGTGCCGGATGCTGGAAGCGCGTGTGAAGTAAGTCTGTGTGTGTGAGAGAGAGAGAGAGAGAGAGAGAGAAAGAAGTGCGTGAAGTACTTGGATCCTGTAGAAGATCACAGCTGCTAGTGATCCTGCTCCTACAGCAATGCTATACTGCAATGCTGCAATGCTGCTAGGCTTCACATGTTTTGCGAGCGCGCTCCCGGAGCGCACCCGTGCACCGTACGCGGATGCGTGACCGAATTCGCCGGGTTTCACCAAGCGGAGGACTAGCCACGCCTTGGAGAAATCGGGGGATCTACGCAGAATCTACGCGGAATCCCAGAAAGGGGCTGAGGCCTTTGCTAAGACATCTTCGCTTGACTAGTCCTGTGCCAACGTCCAGCCTCAGCTCTAGCGGGCGACTGTTGCTGGGCTCGCCACAACCTTAAAGACAAGAAAAAAAGAAACGCCACATCGATGTTTAAGGGCTTGGGGAGGCGGAGACCAGCAACATTGTCTGCAACGGTGCCGGCACACCCCAGAGGGGTGAGGACTCCGAAATGCGAAGTACTTGAGCTGGACACTTGCCTGCAGCTTCGCACTTCAAGTCCGATGATTGCCCTGACTAAGCAAGAGTGGGCAAGCGACGCCAAGAGTTTGCAGCACAGTGCACCAGCGGAAGATCAAGTCCTCCGCAACCGCCATTGCCGGTGGGCAGAGTTTTCCGACAACGTGCGACCAGTTTCGGTCACAGATGGGGAAGCCCCGGAGTCAGTTGCATTCCAAATGTTCTGTCTCTGTAAGCGGGTGGGAAAGGAAGAATGGGCAATGAAGCATAAAGATGCCTAATATATTTTTGGAGGTTCGGGGAAGAGGACGCTCTCCTTCGTGTTCGTCTCCTCTGCTCCGGCAAGATCCCTTGCGGGAAAGAGCCAGGCATTCCCCACAAAAGCCGCAGAGATCACGATTTCTCTCAGATGCCACTGGCTTTTCTCTCAAAGTGTCAAAGTGGAACAAAAAGACAAAAAAGGAGATGTGGGTTTTCAAAACGCTCCGTGCTGCACGGCCATGGTAGCGTGGGCCCTCTGTCAAGGCCTGAGGTCCAGCGGGTGCTGGGAATTGGGGCGCTTGGACGAAATGTGTAACGCCGGAATTCAACACGGCGGCGCTGCCAAGCCTCGCCAAGCCTGTTTGAAGCGTCTAAAGATGCCTAAAAAGGCCTAAAGATATCTCAAGCCGCCACCCGCTTTGCCTCAACAAGTCCCAAGGAACCGGGACTTGAGGGTCTGTGCTCTGGCCCACACGGCGGAGTAAGGGTCGCTGCATCAGAGGGGCGACGAAGCCTTGAGGCTCCAAGGCCTCATTTTGAGGTTCGAGCGTTTAGCGTTTCTTCCAGTAAGCTCGGTCCCAGTAATCTGACCCGTGTCTGAGGCTGATACGTGTGTGTGTGTGTGTGTGCATAGAAAGGCTGTTGTTTCGGAATTGCACGGTGCATCATAGGCACACACTGCAGAGCATCACACTTGGCAATTACACCGAGGCTCCCTCTCCTCTCTTTTCCTCCCTCTCTCCTCTCCCCATCTCCCCTCTCCCTCTCTCCCTCTCTCCCCGTCTCCCTCTCTCTTTCTCTCTCTCTCTCTCTCTCTCTCTCTCTCTTTCTTTCTCTTTCTGTCTTTAGATCTTTCTGTCTTCTGACCTTTATTCCTTTATTTCCTTCTGTGTTTCTTTCCGTCTGTCTTTCTTTATTTCCTTTCCTTTCTTTTTCGCTCGCTCTCTTTGTTTTTTCACAGTGCGGTTAAGCGATTTAGGAGAAGTGTTGCTCTTCTGAGCATGGCCCTCCTCCACCATTAGAGGGCACGACTGGGCAGCTCCAAGAACACTAGTTCGAAAACACGGCCTTGAGCAAGTATTTTCCGTTACTCGTTGAGGTACCTTCCCATCCCAAGTCGACTCACTCAGCATCTCCGAGCGCTCAGTCGGTCCCTCCACGAAGAAGGGTGCGCTACCCATGCCAATGAAAAAGGACCTGCCTCCAGCCTTGAGCTCGCCCACACTCCGGCAACTCAGAACTCTAAACCACAAAGCAGGAACACGTTCCGACATTAGAGCTTGCCTCGGGTGGCTCGAAGATCAGACTCATGTCGACTATGTTGCTTAACTTCGACCATCAAAGCCTCAAGTTTGCCTGACCACAGAACAGAACCTCGGGTTTCGGATGCCTTAAGCGCCTTGGGCACCTTTAACCCTAGACTCTTCTAGCCTTAACAACAATTGAGACCCGACACAGAAGTGTCACGATCCCACAGTTCGCGGGTGCATGGCCCCATGCCGCTGAGGGTGACTCCTCTGGGAGCGGCGCAGCAAGTCGGCCGCCGACCCCAAACACAATCTTCATCCCTACACTGCGTAGTATGGATTGCTGATGATGCGAAGTGACGGGAGTGAAGAGGCTGACTACCGACCCCTCTTAATCATTGACTGCGGAAGCGCTCTAGCTGAGGCCGGAGCTGCGTGCTGCTGGAGATTGGAGGTGCCAAACCCTGGCAAATAAGCAGACGCGAATGGACACGAAACAAAAGTGCCGGAAATGCGGTTCGTGCATGTCTGAGGATGGCAGAAATTGATCGTTGGTGGCAGAAATTCCAGGTTTCAAAGGAGCTTGACTATCGGGCCTTTGTTTAAACATGTTCAGGGTGACGTGCAGTGATAGGCCGCCGTGTGCTCCTGGACTGTGGGGTGGCGGCCCACTCGTCGCGGGGATCTCGGCTGACTTGCTAAAAATCGGCTGCATTGAAGTGTGACCTCAGCGGCTTCCTCTTCATACTGGTGAGGAGCGGCTACTATCCGGACTTTGCACAGCTGGAGGCGGCTTCTCTCCGGATCCCAAAGTGTGGAAAGTGTCATGGCAGCTATCACAACTCAAACAATTTCCTGAAGCATAATCCAGTATAAGTATAGCATAGTATAGTACATTATGACAACGTGATGTAATTGTAGCCTCCCAGGCCTATGTCCCTGAGCAGTAGGACAGTAGGCACCCAACAGAGACGACCAGAGCGTGTGTCAAGGAGCCCTTTACGACCCATTGAGCTTCACTAAGCCACCTGGATCTTCACTATTTGAAAGCTGACGTTCGAGGATGTGCAGAGCCTGGATGCGGTGATCATCTCGCACTTTCATCTGGTCAAAAGCTGAGTCGTAAGGTAACGGCTGTGGCTTTTGTTTTCTCAGGCTCCCTTTCACTTCAAGATCATTTAAGCCATTTCAACGCGAAAATTCTCCTCGAATCGAATCTCAGGATCATGTCGGGGCGTTGCCCGGCTCTCAGCTTTCGGCTCCTCGTGTGTCCTTAACGACTCCGGCCCTCACAGTACAAAGCAGGACTGAGGCTACTTCGGCACTACGTGCTTGCGTTGCAATCGGTGTTTTCAATGGCAGTTCTCAAATTGGCTATCTGCTGGGACTTCATGGGGCTCGTCTGAAGCAAAGCTCCACTCGAACTCCGCCGCAAGAGTACTTCAATTTGTCGTGCGCGAAACGGCGGAGTCGCCCGTTGATTCATGTGCGGGCGGCGAAGGCCATATCTGACAGAAGTCTTGGGCTACCAGGGGCGCGGATTCCTAGTCAGCCCTGGCTCTGTTTCGGGCCGGTGCGGTCAAGTTTTTAAAGGAGGTTTTGGGATTTTGGGGATTGGGGAGTTGCGGCAGAGTTTCCAGCGGCTTGATTGGGACCCGCCTTACCTTGTCAACTCTGAACCCCAAAACCCCGGCAATTCAGATGCTAGCTCAAGTTCAAGGAGGAAGTAGGCACCATGACTACATATTCGGGGGTAGAGCACCCCAGGATCCCGAGACCATCTCGACATCCCGATGAAGGCACGACAACAAAACAGCAAAGACCTCAAAGCCACGAGCTTGTCACAAAGTGCCCAAAAGGGTTCACTAGAGCACGAAGAGCAGAAAGACTCAGTAAGAGCACTACGAGCAGTCCACAGGCCCATACTGATGACGCACCCCACCCGCGCCATCGGCCCCATCATCATCAAGGACTCCCTCTCCAGGTGCAACAGGGCACCCTCTGAGATCTGATTCTTGGGTCCTTGAAGGTTTTTCTTTGAAGGTTCCCTTGGGTTTAGAGACTTCCGGGAGCCAACACTGACAACGATGGGGCAATGCAAGGGTGAGCTATGACTTAGGGCTGAGTGTTCAGGAGTTAGGTTGCAGAATGTCATGGGGTGTTGCGCCTTCATGCATAACCCTGCTGGGGCGTTTTGGGCTCGGAGCTTTTGGGCACGTTTCGTGCATCTGCACGCAATCCCTCAAATGTCTCTTTGGCTGGGACGACGGCATGCAACCCTCGTTCTGAAAGAAGGATAAGAACGTCAGGTTCCTTAAAGAGCCTATAAGCGCCACTCTCTCTCTCTCTCTCTCACACTTTGTCCTGCACCACGACACGCTTGGAGCTGTGAGGCCTTCCAAGAAGACCGGAAAGCGAGCTGGAAAGCCAGTGGAAGAGGCACTCTACGACAGCCATCATGCACAATCCGCATGGTGTCGTGCTGAACTTGTTGTGTTGATTGTTTAATTCCGGAACTTTGTCACCTCTTGTGCTGTTTTGGTCTCATGATTTTACAACCCCAGCATAGTGACACACATTTTGCCAGGAGCTTCACCCAAGCACTAGCTGACAGACAGTCTGAAAAGGCACCTATTGCTCATTCCTTCCTTGAAGGATGATGTGCTCGAGCTGGTGACCCCCGAGATGGTCGATCCCCCTTTTGACCGTGCGCGGTGCTTCCAACTGCAGGAGCCTGTTGAGGGATTAGGAGTTTGGGTTCCTAGGTTCCCCCCCTTAATGACCTGAATTCGGCTTTGTTTCCTTGTTGAAGAAGCTGTTCATGCATCAACCAGTCTGCTTCTTAGTTGCCAGGAGCGGGTGGAAATTGGGGATCTTGTGATGACTGGCTTCTACGCCGGCCACGTGCAGGGACCTCGGAGTCTGATCGGCCGCGTTGGTAGCTTCGTTGGTAACATTAGTCAATTAGTTCTCGTTAGTTGGTAGCTCTTGCAGCCCCATGCACTGCTCAACCTGCAACTGGCACGTACATCGTAAAACCATACGCCGCCACAGCCCGAAACAACCCCAAGACCAAGATCCAAGACCCTATGCAACGTCAAGGATGCAGAGGGCTTTTTCAAGATAGTTCAAGACGCCCTCCTGACAGCCGGATTCCAGGAGCCTAAGCATGTCCACATATGTCCACATATGTCCAAATACGTCCAAATACGTCCAAATATGTCCAAGCCAAGGTTGGGCGCGGTCATGGTTCATCTCGAGTGCCGGGGGCACCTTTGACTCTTTATGCGGGAATGGAAGCTATCAACTTGCTGAATATAGCTGAACATTGCTGAAGGCTGCTGGGGGCGATATGGCTACAATAATGGGTGCTAGAGTTGACCGCGCATTTCGCCTTGTGACTTGGTCAAATGATGCCACTTACCACGCGCCGTTTCTTGAGACTGTGGTAGAGCAGTGTTCCCCAAGGCCTCATAAGCTTCGCATTCACCAGATAGCGTCTCTTGATTGAGCCCCTAATGCACAGAACCAGCAGAACGTCGGCCGGAACCCCGGCCCGAAGTAATAGTCAGGCAAAGCGCGCTGTACACAGGAGATTTCACCATGGTGCCTGCCTCTCAGATTGCATCCTCAGTCCTGTGACGTCCCTCACTTTTTCCTTGAATAGTTTTTTCAGGGCTCCGGGTTCCATCGGCGAATCTTCCGCGCTTCACTAGTTGTGGGCGATTTGCAGGTGCTTGCCCACGTCCGCCATTCGACTGGAACCTCCTGAGGCCGGATCACCACTTGAGTGCCGCGAGCATCCCCCTGGCGCTCCACCCGGATGTGCTGATCACAGAGACGACGCGCCGCGCCCCAGAGGCTACAAGGAAATCTTTGAAGCTGTGAAAACATCTGAAGGTGCAAAAAGACTATAGCGCTCTCAAAATCCTCTCATACATCGCGGCTCTCAATGCAAGGGGCCTTTAGCAAGTCCGCGCTCAGTGCTGACAGGTGCTGCACGACGATCCGCTCACCGAAGCTGCGTGAGGAGTACGACATCTGCTCGAAGGCCATATGTATATCACAATCCATGTTTTTTTGAGCTGGGCAAGGGCTTTAAGGGGAACAGGTCGCGGCCATGGGAAAGCACGATAAACCTTGCTGCGACGACTGAACTCCCATTCCCCGGCCGAACTCCGTGCTCCCCCGAGTCGCCGAGAGGTCCAAGCCTGCCTGGAAAGAGGTGGTAAGGCTGGACGGGATGTTGTTGTTTTTTCTCGGCAATGTTTGAGAGGGAGGGCTGAGGTGTTTCGGAGACTTCATGTAAGTTTCTGACCTAGCTTTGGCAAGCTAGGGCACGGCGCGGCTGCGAGATGTCGCACTCTCATCCATAAACCTCCCCCCGGAGCTGCAATCTGATGGATGCTGCTTGTGGGGGTGTGGGGCCGGGCGTGGCGACAGCCCCGTTAAGTAGGTTTGGACGGCAAGACAGGCTGCGCGTTACCCCGAGTTACTGTTCCTCCTACTCCTCGTCCTCCTACTACTAGTACTACTCCTCCTCCTCTTTTGCCAGAGAAAATTTTCCTTTTGCAAGCAAGATCTTGATGTCACTATTTCTTGACACAAATCTAAATTCAAGAGCACGTTCCAACATTGTAACGTTGGTATTTGCTCATGTTTTCCATACGAAATCATGTTTGTCAGTAAGTTGGGCATGGGAGGGAGAAACTCATTAAGAGGCCTGTAATGCGCCTTACTTTCCAAACGATTTACTTTGTTATGCATACATTATGCATGTGAGTGGGTGGTGCGTTTCATTCGTGGCGTCTCTGTCTTCGGGAGGCGGAGAGTTCTCCCCGTCACTTGAGACCAAGCACATGTTGCCACCCAGTAAGTTTCGGCAGGTCCTGGTTCCCGTTCTGGTGATGGGCCGCAGCACCGAGATCTGCCAGGATCTCGAACTTCAAGCTCCGTTCGCACACAGCTAGGTACTTTGTGTATGTGAGGTTTCTTGAGGAGGTTTGTTGGGGTGAAAATTCAGAGGTGGCATGGGCTGGCAAAATGGGGGGGTTCTGCTCATGCACTTTGGAATCACACCCTCTGTGGGCCAGGAGAGACTGTGAACCCCACACCCTAATTACCACGTACAGAGCCTTCAATTTGAACGTAAACCCTCAACCCCAAACCTGAACCCGAAACTTAAACCCTAAATCCCCTGAATCGTTCAACCCAAAACCCCGCAACCACGTCACATGCTTTTAAAAGTTCAGGTGCGATCTTGGAGGAACACTGGGCCCGGGCTCAGCTGGCGTATCCCATCTACGCCCCTTGGAAACACATGGAAACACGTTGATATGTGGGAATGCTTGGGTTGGGGATGCCTTATGCCAGTTATCCCGGTCCCTTTCAGTTGCAAGCTCTTTTCCCTGCACCTCTGTTGGATTCTAGGCTTCCGGCAGCTTTGGGATGTTTGTAGTGACTCTGTCAGTGCTGCTTGCTGAGGTTATCAGCGCAATGGCACAGAAGGCAGCCTGCACCGGGATGTTTCAGGAAGGTTTGACCCTCGACGATTCGAGGCTGCGTTGCTCTTGGGGTTGAGTTGTTGCGTCAACGACGAGGGGCGCTCGGGGAGCATGAAGGATTGGCGTTGCTTTGGGGGTCGAGCGGTTGAAAGAGAGGTTGTGAGAGCCCGCCCTCCCCTCCTCCACACTCCAAACAGAAAAGCAAGCAGGGCCACATGAAAACCGTAGGGTGCAGGTTATGCGATGTGTCACAGGAGTCCATGGTGGCTTTAATGAAGTTGGACGTCCAGGTTCCTAGAACTTCCCTCAAACCCAAGAGCCTGAGGGCAGTGAAGTTGGTGGGTGCTGACCGCAGGCGCGAGTGTTCTTCCAGCTCTTTGCGTCCTGGGGGAGCAAGAAGGTGAGGGGCCCTTGGGCCAGGTTCTCGCTTTGCGCTTTTTGTGTGTTCTTTCATTTGTGCTCTCGATCAGAGAGTACGTCATAGCTCAGGAGGCATGACAAGAATCTCTCTGGTGCGGCGGCTGCTGCGAAACTCTACCAAAATGCCAAAAATCTGGGTAGAAGACGCACAAACTCCTTGAACTTTTCGGCGACTGGGCCCTTCTCTTCAACACATTCGAGCACCCTTGCACCGCAGGTTCGCACATCCGAGAGGCCTTTCGAATTCCCCCACGTGCTCTTCGGGAGCCTGGCTGAGGTCCTGGCACTGTCGGAAGCCAAGTGGGCCAGGGGTCAAGTTGGGCGCCACATTGCGGATTCAAGGGTCCAAACCTCAACTTTCAGCTGCCTGGGATGGCCGGGACTCACGCCGGCGCTGTGGCGGAGCGTCTTCTAGAGTCCAGAGATGAGAGATTCCCTCCGAACTTTGAAAACACGTTCCGAAGAACCCCAACAGCACGCAATTTGGTTTGCTTTTGTTCGGCCAGTGCAGGAAGAGTGCCGTCAGCCTGTCAGCTCAGGGGGGTTTGAATGCGCAAGGGTCCTTACAGGTGACACACGTTCACACACGTGTCAAAACCAAGCATTGTTACGTAGACCGAATTGGCCCCATCTTGGAAGCCTTGCCAACCTTGCGGATGTTGCGGGTCTGGCTGGCTTCTGGAGACGCCCGGTCTGGGGACGAGTTCTTGAGTCGGGCTTAGGCTATTAGGGCCGCTGTAGGATCGCTTTTTTCGGGAGCAGGGGAGGAGCCTTGTATCAGAACCCGAGGAAGAGCTGGGCATCGAGCTGTTTGAAGATCCGTGGACGGGCCTGACGCTGAAGCAGCACCTCCACGGCCTCTGCGAGGTGCCGCGATTCCGGCAGAGGCTTTTGAAAGAGGACGGCTCAATCTTGGCCGACGATGCCGTGATTTCAAGTCCCTTGGACCTTCAGTTGGTCCTGCTGTCGTTTTGCCCCACTACGAGGGCAGATGCAAGCCACTTGACGAAGGCTGTTGAAGAGAAAGACCTTTCTGCGATGGAGTCCCTCTTGCAGCTGCCACAAGACCCTGATATTGCAGACGAGCGTGGAAAGTTTGCCATGGGTTTGGCGGTAGCCCAGGTGTTTGACGAAGGGATTACCCTCTTATGGGAGGCTGGTGCCGACATGCGGACCATTGCTGCGAACGATTTCTGCGACGCAGTGATGAGCGATCGCACTGACTTAGTGTCCTGGTTGCTAGAGTCCGGTTGCGAAGTTGATGGGAAGGACTCACATGGCCAGACGCCCCTTGAGCTCGCATCCTACTTTGGCCAACGAGAGATGTCGCAGTTGCTCATCGATTGGGGCGCGGACCCGGACAAAGCCAGGAAACGGAGCAGGACAGCCTTACACGATGCCTCCCAAAGTGGTCAAGTTCTTCTTGTGCAGGAGCTGCTAGAATGGCGAGCAGATGTCAATTTGACAACAGCCGATGGTGAGACAGCCTTGCACAGAGCTGCAAAGAGACTTGACACGGAGGTGCTGCAGACTCTATTGGTTTGGCGCGCACACGTGGACGTAGCAACCGTGGATGGCAGGACGGCCCTGCAGATCGCCACTGAGGAGGGGAACCGGGACGGCGTGGAGCTGCTGCTTGAGGCCAAAGCGGACAAGGAGAAACATGGAAATCATGGAAACGGAAAGGCAAGCACAAACAAGCGTAAGCACAAGTGCAAGCAAAACCCCCCCCCCCTGCGAAGAGAGCAGAATTCACCCTCCAGCTCTTTATTCGCTAGGCCGCTATAGGGTCGCTATAGGCTAAGTACACCAAAGGACAAGGCCGATCTACAAGGCCGCACGCCACTGTGCCAAGGCTCTCATATGGAGTTCAGGGCACGGAACTGAGGGCCCTTAAAGCCCTGGCTAAAGAGTTTAGACATCAGGGATTGGGTTTCTCGGTTGGATCATTGCTCAGAGCCTCGGGGGCCAAGTCACATTCTCGCTGCCCAGGCCCAGGCCATCAGACCTTCACAGGGTTCTAGGATCAAAACCTTCGAGCGCTGTCATTTTCCGCTCGGGTACCCATGGCGCCCCTGGAAAACAGCCAGTTGCCCCTAAGGTATCTCGCATGCGAAAGTTGCCGCCGGCTGCCAGCGAACATCGACTCAGTGACGCTGCTTCTGGCAACTGGGTTGAGCTATCAACGTCTACCTTTCACTGGCTGGAAGGGGGAGGGGGTCAAGACTCAACCCACGCCCTAAATTTCCCTAAACCCTAAGCATCCATCGTGACTCCCAACCCTCGAACCCACCAAAAGACCCCGACAATGGCAAACGTGACAGCAAACACTGGTCGTGCCAGCATGCCAGCCAATCAGGCTTTTGGTGCCAACAAGCACTTGGCCACCGCATCGGGAGACACGCCGTTAAAAATGGCCTCCCGGTTTCTCGGCTCGGCTTTGTGACACTTTGCGTCTGTGGCAGTCTTTGCTTTTGACTCGGCCTACTAACATGAGTAATAACATGACTAACTGCGGACCCTGAAACCGTGAAGCTGGAGCACAGGTACGGCTGCGTCGACGTGGCAATGGAGCTTGCGAAGCATCGTTGAGCCTCGACCCCTTCCGATTTCCCATGAAAATCCTTGGCGTCGAAGCCCAATGTCTTGAAACCCCTGTGCCAATGTATAGCATAGGGCCTCCAGGACCCTCCCTTCTTTTACGAACTTTGAGGGCCCTCGAATTCTGACTCAAATCTGCACGCCGACCAAAAGTGCGAGGGTTTCGTCAGTCTCGCTTGCCCACGCGCCTTCAGGCAGAGCTTTGCAAGCGAACCCTGTACATTGCAACTCCCTGCGTCCTGCTACATGCATTGTCACTGTGTTGAAGCTTGGACGAGATCGTCTCGTCTTGAAGGGTTGCCAAAACCTGCCAAGCAAAGACTCGACGAGGCCAAGCCCAGTCGTGGCCCTGGCGGGCTCGGGCATGCTCGACTCTGGCCACAGAGCCCAGTGTTTGGAGTTCAGGCTTCCCTAAACCGACCCCCGCTCCCCCAATAACCCCGAAGCCTTCAAACAGTCTTAGAACTTTGGCAGCCTCACAAGTTGCGGGTTCAAAAGTTGGTTGAAAGGTTGGGAGTCTGGCCCTCCCCGCAGCTCGGCTGAAGCCCGAACCTTCAAACTTTGCAAAGCCATGAGGCCCAGCGCTGGAGCTCTTCCAGGCATGGGCGCCGGACAGGAAGAACTTGATCGCCTTGGGCTCAGCATGGTAATCCGACACCACCCGACACCACCCGACCTCAAGGGGCTTGAGGCTTTGCACAAGTAGTGTTTAGCAAACTGGCCTTTGTACATTAGGCAAGCTTAGGGTTTAGGGTCCCAAGACACATTGTTCGGCCCTTTAAAGTACACCTCATCCATACAACCGAAAGCCTCCCATAATCCCGGAATGTGTTGACTTGGAAAATCAGGTCATTCCCGGTTATTGCCTACCCGGCACCGTTGGCAACTTGGTTCAAGCCCCGAGCTCAGAACGGCAACGTTTGCTGGGGGGAGGGGGGAGGAGGAGGTACATGACACATCACCTTCCTTGGCGCAGGTGCTCCAAGTTGACCCCTGACAACTCTTAAAGCCTTCAAGTCTTGACTCCGCTCAAACGCCAAAGCAGATTCAATGCCTAGGGGCTGAAGTCAAGCACCTGAGTCACGCTTCCCCCCAAGCGCCCTGACTACAAATGTCCTGAAGCCAAAGGATGCCAAAGGCCTACCAAAGACGAGTCCAAGAGTCCAAACACGCTCCGTATTCCGAAGCAGAGTGGGTTCCCGAGCGTGAGGCCAGAGAGAAGAAGATCGAGCTGGCCAGCGGCGTCGTTGATGTCCGCTGCGAGGTAACAGACTTGTACGTTTTTCGAAGAAGGGAAAGGAGGTGCAGCGGCATCTTGAGATCCAGAAGCTTCCGTTACTAACTAGCGTGTGTTCCCTGTACCTCTGCAAGGGATTTGTATTCATGAGCTCTTGAGGTCATCAAAAGAAGCGGGGCAGTCCCTTTTCAGGAGAGTTGTGTGCTTTGGCTCGCTGCGGTGGCAGGTGGACCACTTGGCGCACTCAGATCACACCGACTCTCGGGGCATTGTGGAGCTCATCAGCCAGGCCTTCCACTGTAGTTTCAAGCGTGTGAACTTTCTCTGCTTGGCGGTGCAAAGAGACGAAAAATGCAAACATGCCACTCTTCAAGAAGCTTTGAACCTGCAAGAAGCTGCCCTCCCAACCTCAACAGACTCTATGGCCAATCTGGGAACTCTTCCAGGTGGCTCCCAGACAGGCCGGGAGCGGCTTTGCCTTCAGGGCGGCCGTAGTGGCATTTCTGAACGCCCAAGGTATCGAACAAAGCTGCTACAGTATGTGCTGTATTTATTTTAAACACACCTAAATATTTTGAGCCAGATGTACCCCAGAACATTGCGTGGAGACTCACGTTTGAAGCAAGGTCCTCTCTCAAAGTCACATCTTCAGAGCTCATGCTAAGTGTTGAAGGCTTTTGACTTTTTTGATCCCTGGCAAAAGAAGTATATTTCTTTGCAGCAGGTAGTTCTGGTGCATGGCGGCATGCAATTGATGGACGTGTTCACGGCCATCGTCCGCAAGCGCTTACGAATCCCGTGCCCCTGGGCCGCAACAGCGCAGAAAGTGTTGGCTGGGGTTGGGGACCGCTGCAACATGCTGCAACGCTCGGCTACCGTCGGCCAATTTCGCGGTGCCAGGCCACATGCCATCGCTCGGCGAGAGCGTTGAGATCCCGAGCCCGGTTTTTGTGGAGGCCACGCGGGCCTTGGGAGCTCTGGGCATCCCTTGGCTCCCAGACTCCCTAAACCCTAAACTCCCTAAACTTGGGGGGGAGAGGTGGTTGAGCAGGATTTCTGCCGAGCTTGTCTTGGGTGCTGAGTGAACGCAGAGGCCTGGGCCAGCTCTTTGCTGATGACCCGCACCGAGCCGGTACCCCCGCCCCCTGCAGGGGCCTCGAGACCGGGGTCGGGTCTTTCATAAAGCTGTGTTGTGAGGATGAGAGGATCTGTATGGATCCGTGCTTTCGGACTCTGAACACAGACGGATGCGGATGCCCGCACACAATCAGCCCGGCCAAGCGGACCAAGTCCATCAGAAAAACGGCCAGGCTCAGCACGTGCTCCGAGAAGAACAAAAGAAGCTTGATTAAGCTTGAGGCTGAACTAGAGCCACGGCATCTTCTGCCTTTGCGGACCTGGCCAGAGCGCTGAGGGCCGACGAGTCTGGCTCCTTTGGGGCGTGGACCATGAGGCTGCCGCCAAACGCCTGCATTCTGCAGGGGCCCGACCGTGCGAACTCATGACATCAGGCGTCGCACTTATGGTTTCGAGCAACCTCGCGTCTCGTAAACATTGTTTGCGAAAATCTGCATCCGAGCACCCAGAAAGAGTGCATGCTCTTGCATGCCGTCTGAAATACTCTGAACCACCAAGGTCAGGGGCGTACCCTGCATCCACGCGGCAGCGCCCGTGGCCGCGAATTTCACCGCGGAACTCCGGAAGCGCGGCCGCCACAGGGCTGCAACAAGAGATACAGACGAGGGACAAGTGAGAAGGAAACCCGAACAAAAAAAAAAAAAAAAAAAACGAAAGAAGGTGGAGCGCTGGAGCTCCACGCGGCGACGCCAGCACCCAAAGCCAAGGCCGGGTGGAAGATTCGATCGTTCGGGATCATTCGGGGGGTTGTTCCTACCTCTTCTCATGCCTCGCTCTGCAGTTGCGACAGTTCTTTTTTTTCTCGCCAGGAAGTAAGTGAGTGCATCTTCACAACGTTCCAGGGTGGGATGTGCTATGTCAGGCGTACTGACAGAAAAGTCTTGGAATTCGGATGTTCAGGAAAAATGCTGCTCTCGTTCTGTGCGTGTGAAATAGAGAGAGGAGAGACATGGTTGCCCGAGAGTGTGGAGGGAGTAGCAGAGCAAGGGCTTCCTAAGGTTCCGAGTCTAACAGCGCATTTTGCACGACAGGTGCCGCAGAATGCTGAGGGGGGGCGTAAATTGGCCCGCTTCAACCCATCCGGCATCCAGCAACCTGCATCGATGAAGGGCCTGAAGAGTGACCCAACAACCCAGACCAGCCCGGAAACCGAAAATCTCAACAATCTGGAGCCGCAACCTTCGGACCTTTCCTGAGGTGCACCGCATATGCATCCGTCAACGGGGTCGCCTCCCTTGCCCCGTACTTCAAGCCGTGCTCCGCACCCTGCCACGATGAGGAAGTGTTATGGTGTTGTCTGGGCTCGGCAGTGTACAGCCTGTACAGCATGGGTTTCGGGTGAAGAGAGGGATGGGCTGTGTGTGGTGTTGGTCAATTACCCTAAGTCTTAAACCCTCACCCCAAGGCGAGGCAAAGCAGGACATCCCGGACGATTTGTGCCAGGGGCTCAGCTCCTGAAGGGCTGGAATGGTTTCCTGTAGCTTCTTTTCGAAGAGAAGTAGCAGAACCCAATCTTAAGCTTTCATACTCTCAGGCCCCGCATCCTCGAGCCAGTGTTGTTGTTTTTGGCGTTTCTTGTGTGGAAGGCTCGATCTTCGAGGTTGCGGGTGCCAAGATTCTGGTGGATCAGATCCAGGCCATCAGCTGTTGGTGAGTGAGCTGCCACCATGTTCCGAGCTTGTGGAGAGGTGTGCGGAAAGCGTGTACAAATGCCGCCCCTGCGAAGCCCATAAACAATGCCCCAACGCCTGAAGACTCCAAAAGCCCAAATGCCCAAAAGCAGAGTAAATTCGCAGAGAGCTTCTTGGAAGGCGAACGATGCAATTGTCACGGTCTCCTGGACAGCGGGGCTCGAGGACAACCCTCCGCTCATTTTCCCTCCCCCCGCCTCTCTTCATCTCCCTCCACATCTTTCCCCCGCTGTTCCTTTCATGCTCTCGAACTTCCCGTTCTCCCATCATGTCTCCTAGTATTTTGCAGTGTTTGCGGACAGCGATGCCATGGGCCTGTTTCAGGAGCATGCAATCTGAAGCCTCCCCAATCCTGCAGGATCGCGAGCCAGTCCGACAACTCCTCGACGCACTAGGCTTTTTCTTTGCCGGGCTTGAAGAATTTGATACAATAGGCTTCTGGCATCTTCCCATCTTCAACCTCCACTTAAGCCTCGGAAAGGAGAGAGAGCGCAGAGTGCAGTAGCTGTCAGAGATACACCTGAAAAGGCCGCTGCAAAGCCCCTTGCTGCATAAAGCCCTTCAAAGCCCTCGCAGCCTGCGAGCATGCAGAGGACCTCCAGAGCCCTGAGCGTCTCGCAGTGTCTCGCAGAAGTGGAAGCTCACCTGCGGAGCTTGACGCCGAAACCTTAGATGGGGGCTCGTTTGTTTTTTCGGTTCTCTGAGCCGGCACAAGGCCCAAGGTGAGAAGTGCCGCATTTGAACATCTCATCCAGTTGTCTGCAGGAGAGGATGCCGGAGGCCCTGGCAAGACTCCTGGCTGAATCTACCCCTACTGTACCTTTCCCACCCCCTTTTTGTTTGTTTGAGTCTTTGTTGGCAATCAGCAAAGCCATGGAGGGGCACCTTGCAAGATCCGAAAGGAGCCCAAGGTTCAAGTTGGTCCAAGGCTCAGGTTGGCAGACCTTCTGAGGTAGACTGGTCGAGATGATCTCCCTTAGGGCTCGAAGCTGTGGACTCGTGGACATCCTTGCGCTGACCCTGCCATGCAACGACAGTACGGCACAGTACGGCACGCACTTGGAGAGACTGGCATTGGCGCGGCCACGGCGAACTCTGCAACGACTCGACAGCTTGGCGAGACATGGTTGACTGATGGCCTGAATCAGCTCGGCCACAATGCTCCATTAGAGTCGCTGCTGACCGTTCACTTCGCCTGGCGACATCGGCGACACTGTAGAGATCACATCTTATTTTGGGCTGCGTCGATGCCTCTCACGCATAGCGCGGAAAAAGCCGTGTGCGGATGTGGCTGGACGGAGCACTTGCTGGACCAGTTGGAAAGCCCCTTGCTCAGGTTGTCCTGAATACGAGACTTGCGTCTTTACGGTGCTGTCCCGTTCTTGTCCCCGTGTCATCGCATATGAGCTTGCCTCAAACCATCTCATTGGCAAAGCTTGCGCTTGCTGGCTCAGAGGCCTTGGCATGTTTGTATCTCATACCTGTCGTAGCTGTCGTAGCCGACAGGAGTGCGCCCAGACATACTGGCTGCAGGCAAGTAAGGGAAGAGAAGTCTTAGCATATCTTAGAGGAGTCCTTAGAGCAGTCCCATGAGTCCTAAAGCTTCAGGTTGGTTCGCCATGGTTCGCGATGCGCCATGAGAAGGCTCATGAGCAGAAGCGCTTGCAGATAGGCTGTGGGGCCAAGACCCAAGACCTTGACCTTCTGTCAGGGCCTGGGCTTCGAGAGGCACTGCACAAGGCGGATCGGCCAGTCTCCAAGCCTTCCACGTTTTTCAGCAACTTCCCAGCACTTCCCGCGACCCGTCCTGTTGTAAAAAGATGCGGCCTCCACGGCAGCGGCCTCCGCGGCACTGCGCCGACGCGTGCGGCCGCAGAGGCGGAGAAGCCGAGACATGAGAGAGGAAAGGCATTTCAACAACTGCCAGTAAGTAAGGCCGTCTACCCAGTTGATCTCGCTGGAGATGCAAGGAGAGGTACAAGATGCATCAAGATGCCCAATCTCCACCCTCGAGGTTCCTCCACGAGCCACTCCTGCGCCAGCTCCGCCTGGCGGCCGAGGCAGAGCGGTGGGGACCCCTGTTTTCTAGAGAAAGGTGTGGCGGTGTGGCAGGGTGACCCTGCTGGGCTTCTTCATGGGGTCGAGACGCATAATTAGATATAATTAGCATTGCAAGGATGATTGACACCAGAACCGCATAAACACGATCTCATGTCGATGAAACAAAGGGAGAGTCATCATGGATGGTACCAACATAGCATTGCCGCTGTTCTGTTGAATGCCACGCTGCATCCTTGCCCCGTGCACTCCCTCAACTGCAAATGTACTTGGGCATCAATAGATTCCAGTTCAGGTATCTTGGGCCCAAGTGCGTTCCATGGAAACAAGGCTTTCAGCATTGGTTTCAAGGACCATCCACCGTGCTGCCTGGTTTGGAGCCTGGGTGGCTGCAAGTGGGCGCCCCCGCTGTTGGGTCCAAGTCGAAGTCATGAGTCTTTACCCAACCATAGCCAAGGTTCTGCTGCGCTCTCTCGAAGTCTCAAAATGGGATGAAACAGGCCATATGATGACACCTGAGGCCCTGCAGCCACAACCCAAAACTCATCCACGTGGCAGACCCCTCAAACCCAAGTCCTGCACATCCCGCTCACAGAAGATCTTCTCACACCATTTTCTAACACCACATTCCAACCCTCAAAACCCAAACCATGAGCCCTCGTGGCGATGGGGAGTGCAACGGACTTCCTGCCACGGCCAGCATCGAGACGGTCTCTGTCAGCGAGGTGTGGCTGGGAAACCAGGGGCCCAAGATGTCTCCTCCAGCCTATCTTTACGTACATCTACCTGCTAGAGTGAGAGGAGCACCTGGGACCTTGGACGCTGCCAGAAGAGGTGCGCTTGTCCATGGCGTTGTGGGTCACTGAAGAGAACCACCCCTGGATGCGAGTACCTGGCGGCTTCTGCTCATTAAATTAGTGTATTCGCTTCGCTCAGTAGATTTATTAGAAGCGAACAAAGACTATTGGTGTTTTTGTGCCGTTTATGAACTAATGTTCCACTCTCCGGTCCTTATAAGGGAAGAGAGGGTGGGATGTTGTGAGATGTTCTCATGCTCAGTCATTTCCACTGAAGACCGGGGTGCATATGGTGCATCGGGGTGCGTCAAGGACACTTCGATGTTCGACACGAATGACTGCATGTCGGGCGTGAGGATTTTGGGCCGGCGAGCCTCCAGTCAAAACACTAAAGTCAGATCCCAACCCCAGAGGGATTTCGGGCAAATGTGCTACTCCTTGCAAGGGACCCCCGGACGCATGTAGATACTCCCTCTGAGCATCTTTGTCTCGGAAACTGTCCGCACAGACGTTGGCACTGAACCACTGCCAGGCACATCTCAACCTGAAGTAAGATACCGAACCATGAGCCAACGTGAACCATATCCCATGCGTATGCAGTTCTCTTGCGGATATCCTTGGCAGACCTTCACTTTCCTACCGGAGGGCGAGGATGCATTGCGCTCAGTCTCCCCGTGATTGAAGTGGTGAGATAGCTTGAAAGAGGAATCCATCTGGCTGTGTGCATGGCTGCGGAACCGAATCCAAGCGATTGAACGCAGGTCAGATCGAAAAGACGAGACAAGACGAGAGACCCCAAAAGACCCAAGGCCAACTAGAAGCTCTCCACTCAAAAGTGCACAAACCTCCAGTTCGAACTGTTCAGAAAAGATCTTTAGCTCCTTCACAAGAAAGAAGCACAACGAACCGTCTACCCTTCCCAGCTCCTGGTGCGGCTCACCAGTGGCCTGGTCGAGCGAAGGGTCCACGAGGGTGTGGACTTCACGGCCGAGGTGTCTTTACCCGCTCGACTTGGTCCGCGTCCACTTTTGAGGGTTGATTGCATGCCTGTTGCCGAAGAAGCACGAAGAAGCTTCATGTCAACTCAAAGCATCATCAAGAATCCCGGATGCCACCTCGAGACCACAGCCAGGAATCCGCGTCGCTCGATCGCTTGCGGGCCGAGGCTCCCTGGGTAGGTCTGCTATGGTCTGCCCGTTGCCTAGATTGGACCGATTAAGCAGTGTGAATATCATATGCATTGGTTACGAGCAGGCCTGCATTGCTAAGGGACGGGCACGCATGTCATCATGATGTCTGGTGCAGCATACATTACATGTACTTGGTTTGGCTCCAGGCGGTATAACACACCTGTTTCACACACCGATTTGGATCGCTGGAGTACGCCCTTGGGGCGGTCCTTTGGGGCTAAGTGCAGAGGAAGGATGGAAGAAAGAGAGAGAGAGAGAGGGAGCATCACTACAATCAGAACCTTCTAAAACAGATTGGGAGGGTTACTCCTGGCAGGCGTGGCAGAGCGGCGTGCGCTTCTGTCAGAAGCTTAGATGAAAGCCAGCTCGCGATCCTTCTGCAATTCAATTCAGAGTGGTGTTCTCATAATCGTTTCTGTTGATGCAATCGTGGCATCGACCTCTATTCGCAGGCCCCAACAGCCGAGTAACCGACCAACACTCAAGGCCCATGCCTTGCAGCGTGTGCCCCGACTTACCAGCCCAAGCGAATTCGAAGCCCCGAGCATCAGTGACCTTAAGACCCCAAAGACCCAGCACGGCCCCCCTGAGAATATCACAGCCCGAGAGGCCCCAAAATCTTGAAGCAAATGGCATTAAAGTTACAAGCTGCAAACCTGACAGGCTTTCTTAAGCTCGCAATACGTCTGCGAATGCAGCTGCGAGGTCCAGAGGTGTGTCGCGAAGCGACGCGCTACTTGAGCGCAGCTCGTGGAAACCACGAGAAGGCCGGGATGCAAGCTGTTTTTATCTTCACATGATGGCCTGCGATGGCCGGAGTGATGGCTAGTGACGGCTGGTGATCTCTGACGACATTGGCGCGGGCGCATTGGTTGCCCATCAAGGGTAGGTTTCAGAAGTGCTGCGAAACCTAGGCTTTCGATGGGTCGGTAGGAAGAATGGGTCGTGGAGATTCCCGGAGATTATTGCAATGAGGAGCAGAGTTAAGTCTTTTGGCGACATGCTCACGAAAGGCATGAACGCTTGTGACAGCACGTTTTGTTCCACAAACAGCAAAATCCTTGTGCAGCATATGTAGCAACACTGCAAACTAGTGTTTTGAGCATCTTCGCCAAAGGCCTGAACGCTTGTGACAGCGTCAAAGATCCTGGTGCAGTTTGTCGTACAGCAAGGCAAAAACTCTGTAAACTACCCGTGTTTTGGGCATGTTGGCCAAGGGCATGAACGCCTGTGACAGCATCTTCTTCCAGAACATAAGAGATCCTTGTTGCAGTCTGTTGTACAGCCACCAACTACCAGGGTGTGGGGACACAGGGCGCCAAGCGGTTTGAGGGGCTGCAAAGTGCGCACATGCAGAAAACGCGGGGCTTTTGCACAGGTGCACTTCGAAAATCATTGGCGGAAACTGTCGCATTGTTGCGCAAGATGTTGGCTACTATCATAGTTAGTGATCATCATCATTGCCATCACCATGTCCTTGTGCATTATGATGTACAGAAGTGGGAACGACGCTTGCAGACTCCAGTGTTTTGGGCACGCTTGTGACAGTGCGTCTTGTTCCAGAAATTTCTCCAGCACGTTAAATACCAGTGTTTTGGGCATCAGAACCGATGTCAGCACCCCACTCCCACACACACCCCAACGCTTCGGCCATTGAAAATGCTAAGAGCACGACCAAACTACCAGATCGTCCCCAACTACAAGGAATATGCCATCAAGGAAACCACAAGCCATGTAAGTGGCGGTTCATCCTCCGAAGCTCGTCCCCTCCTCCCCCCAACCTCCCCCCAACCTCCCCCAACCTCCCCCAACCTCCCCCAACCTCCCCCAACCTCCCCCAACCTCCCAACCTCCCCCAACCTCCCCCACCCCCCCCCCCCCCCCCCCCCCCCCCCCCCCCAAAAAAAAAGTAACAAACAATAACAAAACCTTATTCCCAAATTTTTCGAGACACTCCTCAACTCACTCCAACGCCCCTCGAACACCCCCATTAACCCGAAAGCACCCTTCCGAGAACCTTCCAAAACCCTTAAAACCGACAAAGAACCCTGATGCGCAATGATACGCAGCGCGCCTTCCAGAGGCGCTCCGATTGATGAAGGAAACGGACTCCTGGCGGCGCTCCTACTTCAAGGCGACTTGTTTCTGTTGAATGTGTCTCTTGGTGACTGAAGGGCTTCGGACTTAGGGTGGGTTGCAGTGTTCCAACCGTTGACGTTCAGAACATTGGGCTCTGTTGTGTTTCTCATATCTTCTCATGGCACCTCAGCGGCCTTAGCGGAAGCTGAACAGTCAACGGATTCCCGGATGCCAACGGCCAACCCAGAGTCCTGAGATCGTGTGCTGCAGATTGCCATGGCATCCCCCGCTTCCGTCGGGCAACAGCCATGAGTCCCACCACAACCGGCAAAGCGTAGCGTCGTAGCTGTGAAGTCCACAAGAAGCTTTGAAGGGCAGTATACTATGCACACTCGACCGTGTCTGAGGAATGGGTCAAAAAAAACCCCCAAACTCCAAAGGCCCAACTCTCAGAAGCCCGCGGTTAGCCACAGTAGCCCCAAAGACCCAGACATGCTCAGGATGGACCGCTGCGGTCTCAAGACCTGGCAGAGGACCTCTCGCTGCTTGGCGATCGCACAAAGGATCAGATGTGGACGTGCGTGCGTGAGTGCGCGGGTGGGTGGGTGTGTGGGTGGGTGTCAAGCCTCGGCAAACCCTTTGCTGAGCGCTGCAAATGCCCGTCATGCCCTGCACCGCAAGAGAATCATCAGCTACATCACCCCCCCACCCCACACAAAAGCTCCCAGGCACGGCTTCGCCTACTTTGCGGGCCGCGACCGGGCACTGAGGCCCGCGCTGGTCTTTCGCACGCGCCCCAGGTCGTTTTTTTCTTCAGCGAGTTTTGATCATAGCAATCTATGGCTCAAGCTGTTCCAGGGCTGTTCACGGGTTAAGGAATACTAGTGGTGTCAAGCTCAGTGCGCTCTTCGAGAGAGCTCTGAGAAACAGTCCGGGTTTCTTCT